CTATGACTATGACTATGACTATGACTATGACTATGACTATGACTATGACTATGACTATGACTATGACTATGACTATGACTATGGCTATGGCTATGGCTATTGCTATTGCTATTGCTATTGCTATTACTATTTAATGATTTAACAATGTAAAGGAGGAAAGAATGAAAGGATTTATGGAAACTGCACAACGTCTTCTGGATGCAGGTCATCCTGATTCAGCCAGCATACAGGTAGAGTTTATAACAACTAGGCTTTTAGGGCGCTTCGCGCCCATCTTCTATTTGAATTGTGAACATGTTCTTTTTGTTTACATTTTAAAACAAAGAAGAAAAAAAATTTGCGGATTTTCAAGAATTTCAATTTTTTTACAAAATTAAAAACCTTTAAAACACATTTATTTCTTATTTTTATCATGTGATGTGATTTTTTGTGATGTCCCACAAAAAATTTGGGCCCGATCGGTTCAGCCGTTTTGACGTTTATTGGATACAAACAGACAGACAAGCCAAATTTATATATAGATTTAAAGAATGGACTAGTTTATTATACAATTTAATCTGAAGCAGATTGCTAATTTTTTAATACTGTACATTATATAGTCAAGCCCACTACTCAGATATTTTTTAAACAATTTGTTTAAAAAAGAAATATATTATAAATGATTAATACAAAATTGTATAAAATAGTTTTAACAGCTATAGGATGAGATTATTTTTGCATTTACTATACAAACTATGTCTTTAGTTAACTTAATAATCCCATAAAGGAACTTGATTAAAAGTTTTTATCACGATATACATTCTTTAAAAGAAACTAGATAATTACCAAAAGGCACCAATTACACAAATAGTTTGTCTAGCATGTTATAATTTAGCCACTTAATTTACATCTTTTTAATGCAATAAGATTTAAATTCAGATTTAGATATTATTGTTGTGAAGGACCCAGGTGCAGGAGATGAAGGACTTCATCTCCGACAAGAAGAGGTTGGTCAGAGAAGACTCATTTAAGGTGAGCTTGGACTAGTTCCAGTTAGATTTGTTTAAACTTGGAAATTTGTCCGAAAAATATGCGGATCCACGGATCCTGATCCAAGGGGTAAAATATCAACCAAAAACTGCAAAAAAAAAAGATTTACTCTCTAAGCCCAAATTTGATCTATTGAAAAAATTAAGATTATAAAGATTCCTCATTTCTGAATAGTTTATCAAATTTCAGCATAAAAATAAGCGGAAAAAAGAAAAGAAATTTGAAAATTTTACTTTGTTAAAAAAATTAGTAAATCTTAAAGAAATGACCTGAATCCGGATCCATTTTTTCCAGTGCAGATTCAGGATCCGGATCTGCATTAAAATTAAATGGATCCTAAGCACCGATCAAAGGTTTGCAACATTAGGTTGTAAAAATTGAAAAATTTATTTTCAAAGCATTGAAGCATAATATGAAAATAAAAAAAATTTTAAATCTTAAAATAAAAAATGAAAATATTCTCTTCAGGACGGTATTGGCAACCTTAAAGCCAAAACTAAAAAGCAAGAAGTTCTGGAAGGAGAAATTAAAGCTAACTCAGGACAACTGAAGGTAGATTAGTGATTTATTCATCTACTTATTTTTTTAATTCACTGTTGTTGTTGTACCTTTTTTGGTCATTTTTTTTGTTTACTACATAGTACATATTTTATATTTTTAGAACGCATAATGCAGTATGCACACATTGATTTTTTTGTTCTAAAAAAATGTCCACTTAACCTGACCTAAGTAATAAATACTGGTGTTGTTAAATACTGGTGTTGTGCATTTTTTTATATAGATAACAATAGCTGTGTCTAGGTACTAAATAGAACAGGACAGCAGATGGTGAACAGGAACCATTACAAGAAGGAGCAGATCTCTTCAGACCTTGACTCCGTCAACAAGAGCTGGGAGGAGTTGGTAGAGGCGGTGAGAGATCAAGGAAACAGGTAATGCAAGCTCTTAAAAATTTAAAAATTCTGTGTATAGCTTAATCCTGACCTTATCAGTGGGATGTTCTCTGTGTAATGTGTATAGCTTAAGTTCACTGAAGGAAGGGTTATTACAAGGGTTTATTCTGATTTTCTGTGATTTAGGCTGGGACAGGCCAAGGCCCAAAAGGATTACAACATGGTTACCTCAGACATGCGCACCAAGCTCGAGGACATCAACAACATGATCAAGAGCGAGGATGTTGGAGAGGACAAGCGTTATTGCAAGACCTTGCTTTCCCAGCACCTGGCTGCTGAGCAGGAGCTTGATCAAGTTGAGGCAAAGGTTAATGGACTGAACAACCTTGCTCAGGAGCTAGCTGAAGGTCATTTTGACGGTCCCAACATTGTTCGCACATGTGCTGAACTTTCAAGTGCAGTTGCCAACCTCAAATCACCTGCAAAAGCCAGGCGAGAGGCACTCAATCAATCAATGAAGTTCCATGAATTCAACTTTGACCTCAGTCGAGAGTTGGAATGGATTGCTGAGAAGAAGACGATCCTAGCATCTAGTCCTGAAATCCAGGGACTTCAGCATGCCCAGAGTGCAGTTAAGAAGCATAAGAAGCTTGAAGAGGAGATCAACAACCATTGTGTTGTCATTGATAAAGTTGTGGAGAGTGGACAAACTCTGCTGGATGGTCCAGCATTCCCGTCCTCTAAGGAGGTGATTGCTAACACCAGGAGGCTGCAAGAGGCCTGGAAGGAGTTGCAGGAAGGAGCACAGAAAAAGAAGGATCAACTTCAAGTTGCACTTAAAGCCCAACAGTTTTTCTTTGAGGTAAGAATCCATATTGTTTTAGGTAGCATGCTTAAACTTATTTTTTTATTTTGTCTCCGCTTATCAATTAGCACACTTAGTTTAATTTTTTAAGATAAATTAAAATTAAATATTACAGGTTGCTGAGATCGAGACTTGGATGGGTGAGAAGGCTCAAACCCTTAAATCTTCAGAGTATGGGAAGGATGAGGACAGTGCTGTTAAGTTGCTGACAAAGCATAAAGGTAAGATTTGATTTGATTTGATTTGATTTGATTTGATTTGATTTGATTTGATTTGATTTGATTTGATTTGATTTGATTTGATTAATTGTTTTTTGTAATTGATTTGAATAAGGGATAATGATATGATATGATATGATCCTTCATAATTTTACAAACCGTTGACTGAAAATCTCATGGGAAATACTCTTCAATGATAAATTTTCCAATATTTGATTAATTGATTAAACAGTTGATTGATTAAATGACTAAGAGGTTGATTAATTAATTGATGAGTTGGTTGCTTAATAAACTGTTATATTTAGGTCTAGAACTTGAGATAGATACGTACAGTGGAATTATTCAGGAGATTAGTAACTCAGCGGCTCAGCTTCTTACCTCAGGAACATATGGATCAGTCTCATTAGTATTCCCCCTGGCCTTTATTTTTTACTTCAGTCTTTTTTAAGCTTTGTTCGTTCTCTTTATACATTTAATATTTACAGGGGTCAGGGGTAGATATTTTTCCAGTCAAGTTATTTAACTCTTCTATGAATCTTGAAAATATCTATTGACCCATACTGTTACCCTGCAGGACACCCAGAATCTAAACTTCATGGATACACTTGGGTGGTAAGGAGCATAGCCTCGGTGTTTCATTGAATGATGGGTTGTCTGGCAATAATGATAATAATGATAGTGTATAAGATATTTAGTTGTATACTCAGGGGTCCTTAACGAGGTATTAAGATATAAAAAATTTTCTATGAACTTCATCATAATGTTGTTTACAGTTTTCTCTTATAAAGGAATTGAGCCTTGGTTACAAACTCAAATTTTCTAATCACTGTATCTTTGTAACCTGATGTTGTAAACCTTTGATACTACGAGATTATTTGATCAAACATAATTCATAGTCTAGGTCTACGAAATGGTGTTGCAAAGATATAGTGAATAGAAATCAGAGTTTGAGGCAACGACTCAATTCCTTTGTTCTTGATTTCCTATAAAATAAAAATTTTCTCTTCAAAGAATCAAGTTAAATATAAAAAATTTACATAACTTCAAAGATTGCTAATTTCAGAGAGGTTAAAGAGTACATTAAGCAGCAGATGAACACTGCCAAGTCCCAGGATCTAGGTCAAGATTATGAACATCTGGAGATTCTTCTGGCAAGGTCAGTTTAGACAGAAGACGGAGTTTGTTTGTTTGTTTGTTTGTAAAGAAAACTTTTTATCTCAAACGAGAGAGGAATTTAAAGAATTTGAGCAGCGTCTCAAACTTGAGATGCGGCTCAAACATGGTTGGTCCCACTTAAAATTGTATTCAGTGTTTCAAGATTTGAGCCGGCGCTCAATTGGAACCGGTTTTTGGCGGTTCAGCGACGCGGTTTAAATTCTTTATATTCGGCCTCTGGACTTCAACATTGAGACGATTCATATCCCCCTTGAAGATTTTAACTTAGACGTTGGATAATGGTAAAGCATCATCAGTGTCAGGAATTTTCCCAATATTTAGTTAAACCCCAACTTAAGTTTGTCCAGAAGGTTAATTGCGTTTTTCTATAAATGTTTTGCTTTCATGACAATTAGTTTATTAATCCTGTTCTGTGGATGTCTCTTGAGTATTTTCTTCAGGTTCCAGGAGTTTAAACTTCGAGTTCAGTCTGGAGAAGAGAAGTTTAGAGGCTGTGAGAGTTTAGCACGGAGGTTGGAGAACTTACAGACAACTGTTGATGTCAAGGTAAGGATTTAGAGGCTAGAGAACCTTGATGTAAGATTTAATCTATGTGTTTAGACTATGAGAACATCAATTGGGGTGTTATAAGAAATTAAACCATAACCCGGTTATTCTTAGACTCATTAAGAAATTTAAGTTATTGTGGCTCCATCCCTTTTCCCATTTTCTTAAAAATGTGAAATTTTTGGGCTTTTCAGCTCTTGTCATTTGTTTCCTTCAGAAATTTCGAATACTTCTATTTTGCCAATGAAAGAACGCATGAAAATGTTATTTTTACTTATTTTTAATTTTTTTCAGGGAATACAGACAGATCTCTCTGAGAGCTGGTATGAACTGATCCAGGCTATTGAACAGCGGGATGAGAAACTAGAGTCGGCAGGGGAGATTCATAGGTAATTATATATAGATTAAAGGGACTGTAAGCATAAATTCTAGTGATTCTCCAGTCTCCATGCAAAGATGGCAATGACAAATTCACAACGGTACCCTTAAAAGCTTTGTCTGATCAAGTTTATCATTTTAAAAACTGCATATTTTTAATTGTGGTTTTTTTTACAAAAAAGTGATTTGCACATTTCTACTACAGAAAATCAAATAGAAATTATTAGAGTTAAACAGTTTTAAACTTAAAAAACGAATCAGGCATTGCCATCTTTACATATATGCAGGGTCACTTTCAATTACGCTTACAGTCCCTGGAAGGAAGTGATCCTAGAGTAACACTTTAAGTCGTGTGAAAACCCAATATTTGGAGGTTCTGCTGACCTTGGATCATTTCAGGTTTAACCGAGATATAGGAGAAGCACTCTCAAGGATTCAAGAAAAAAGTGCGATTCTTCAAACACAGGTTTTGAAATGTTAAAATTACATATTTTAGTTTAATAGATGATGATTACAGTGATAAAATGAAAATAATTTTTATTCAGGATCTTGGAAGAGATACTAAGAGTGTCCAGAGTCTAATCCGTAAACACGAAGGTTTCGAAAATGATCTTGTTGCTCTCGAAGCTCAACTTCAGGTCATTTTTTTTCATAAATGCATCTTGGTTAAACAACACTTTGCACTTAGACCCATTTCAGATTTTTGGACAATTAAAATTTTATCTGATTTAAGACTTTCAGGTTGTACATAGGCAGTCAGGTAGTTGACTTTTTGCTACATTATTTTATCCTATGATATGATAAAGAAACATTAGAATACATACCACAAAAAAATGAGAAAAAATTATAGGAAATGTACTTGATTTAAACGTTTTCTTAAAAATGGATTTTCTTGAAAAGGCATTTCTAATTTATAATGTCATATCTTCTATTACCCTAGCCTACCAAAAATGCCTGAATTGACAGAACTAATATGCCAAGCCATATAATATGAAATTGCTCCAAGTGTGGTCTTATCTTTTTCTTAATTTACGATTGGATTGTGCGGTGTAAATTGTTATCAATACATTTCTAGAGTTTTATTATGTATGATAAAGTCTCATTATTGTGTTTTTTCAGGTCATCGTAGATGATGCCGCTGCATTGCAAACTAAATATCCCGGAGAAAATGCCGCGCATATTAAACAACAACAGAGCAATATGCTTGCAGCATGGACTGAGCTACAGAAGAAAGCTGCTGCAAGAAAAGTGGCGCTACTGTCAAGCAATGACTATTTCACGTTTATGGGAATGTCACGCGACCTGCTGGCCTGGTCAAGCAGTCTCCGTCGGTCCCTGATTACAGAAGAGAAGGTGTCAGATGCTGCTTCTGCCCAGATGCTGAAGGCAGAGCATGATGATCTAAAGGCAGAAATAGAAACTAGAGAGAAAACTTTTAGGTAAATTCTACTTACCTTCAAAAACAAGGACTCCTCTAGTATTAATCTGGGTGAATATAGTTTTGAATACATGAGTTAATAGGCACATAAAATCTACCACAAATAGATCAATAAAATATGCCATAAATAGCATCTTTGTCCATTATATTTGCCACAAAGTTAAGTCTTATACCTGCCAAAAATCTCTAGATGCACCAAATCCCAGAACTGACAGTTACAGTGCTAAATATCAACCAAAAACTGAAAACAAAAATATTTTTTTCTCAAAACCCAAATTTGAACTGTTGATCTTTAGACCTTGGTCCGGATCCGGGTCCATTTTTTTCCAGTGCTGATCCAAGATCCGGGTCCAGATCTGCATCAAAATTTAATCGATCCTAAGCACTGGACATTTATTAGCTTCTAACTGATTTTCAATTTATTTTATCATTTCCAGTGAGGTAGTTGCACTTGGTGAAACTATGGTAGAACATCAGCACAGAGCTTCTCCTGAAGTTCAAGATAAGATAACAGCTGTTCTTGCAGAGAGACAGAAGCTTCATACCGCCTGGCAACATAAAAAGGTATTATTAACCTTCCGATAGTAGTGTAGTCTAGTTCTGTACCTTGTATTTAATGTAATGTACATTGTACAAGCTCTTACATCTTATATGTTTGTGTAATGTCTTTTTTCTACCGTTTATTTCTAAACTTGTTGTTTTTACGTTTTTTGTTTTTGTTTATGTTATATATTAACCTTTTTGTTTGTGTTACCTTTCACGTTTTTTGTTTCAGTTACGTATTACATCTTTCGTTTGTGCAATCTCTTTTGTATAGTTTTGCGTCTTTTTTATGTTTTTGATAAGGTTTACGTCTTTAATTTGTGGTATGTATTATATCTTTTGTTTTTGTAAAGTCTTTCTCCTGTCTTTTCACAAACCTTTCTGAAAATTTCTATTTTTCAGGTCTATTTAGACCAGCTAATTGATATCCATTTCTATCTGAGAGATGCTAAACAAATACTCTCAACATCAACTTCACAGGTATTCTACTTTTCCAGTTCTTTAGATATTTATTAACTGCAGGGTTATCCTTTTATCCTTTCATTTATTCATCCTTTCTAGAATTGCTTCCATCTTTAATGAATTGGTTCATTGATTGATTTATTGATTTATTGAGTCATTGGTTGATTCATTGAGTCATTGATTGATTCAGTGATTGATTTATTGATTGGCTCATTGACTCAATGATTCATTTATTTATTCATTTATTCATTCATTGAGTCAATGATTGATTCATTAAGTCAGTGATTGATTCATTGACTCTGTGATTGATTTATTGAGTCAGTAATTGATACATTAAGTCTGTGATTGATTTATTGAGTCAGTGATTGATTGAGTCAGTGATTGATTGAGTCAGTGATTGATTGAGTCAGTGATTGATTGATTTGGATTTCCCATTTGTAGGAGATGGCTCTGTCAAACACTGATTGTGGAACAACGGTAGAGGAGGTGGAGGCTCATCTCAAAACTCATGAAGCTTTTCAAAACCTTGTAGCACAGCAGGTAGGAGACTTTTTATCAGTGCTTAGAACAACGTCAATCTTAGGCATTCAGATAAATACCATGGTAGCATTTTTCGGTCAAATTTGACAATTATTTGTTAAATTCAAATTGATATAAACAGTTTTCATCTTTATTCAAATGACATGAGATTCAGATAAAAAATGATATTAAATAAAACTAATGACAATTAAATGAAACTAATGACATTAAATGAAACTAATGACAATTAAATGAAACTAATGATATTAAATGAAACTAATAACAATTAAATGAAACTAATGACAATTAAATGAAACTAATGACAATTAAATGAAACAAATAACATCAAATGAAACGGATGACAGATCAAAGGATACCAATGACAACAAAATTTTATTTATGAAACTTTTGATACTAGTGATACTAATTAAACTAAAATAGAATAAAACTTTTAAAACTAATGAAACTAACTAATGATACTTATGGCAATAAAATAAAACCATTGCAAATCAAATGATACGTATTACAATCAAATGATACTACTAAACTATTGATAATAATGATACTAATGATACTTATGATACTAATGAAAATCAAAAGATATATACAAATGGAAAACCAAATTGTACCAAACCAAAACTAATTCCAATCAATTGAGACTAATTGCAAATCAAATAATACAAATGAAACTGATAAAAATAATGAAACTAACGAAACTAACAAAACCAATGAAACCAATGAATCTAGTGAAACTAATAAAATTGATGAAATAAATAAAACAAATGAAAATAATGCAAATAATGAAACTAATGAAATTAATGAAACCAATGAAACCAATGAAACCAATGAAACCAATGAAACCAATGAAACTAATAAAACTAATGGAACTATTGAAACTAATGAAACAATTGAAACTACAATGCAACTAATGAAACTGTTGAAACTATTGAAACTATTGAAACTAATGAAACTAATGAAACTAATGAAACTAATGAAACTAATGAATCTTATGAAACTAATGAAACAATTGAAACTACAATGCATCTAATGAAACTAATGAAACTTATGAAACTATTGAAACTATTGAAACTATTGAAACTATTGAAACTAATGAAACTAATGAAACTTATGAAACTTATGAAACTTATGAAACTTATGAAACCAATGAAACTATCGAAACTAATGAAACTAATGAAACTAATGAAACCAATGAAACTATCGAAACTAATGAAACTAATGAAACTACTGATGTTTAGGAAGAGAAGGTGTCCAGCCTGAAAGAACATGCTGAGAAACTTGTAAGACAGAAACACTTTGATACGGCAACCATTCAGGGAACCCAATACATACTCTTTAAAAATGTTTATCAATGTAACCATTTCATGAACTGATCTGATGCGATCTGAGTTTATCTGAGTTGATTAAATTGATCTGAAATGATCTGGATTGATCAGAATTAATTAAATTGATCTCATTTGATTTGATCTTATCTGAATTGATCTGAATTAATCTGAAATGATCTGGAATTATCTGAGTTGTCTGAATTTATCTGAATTGATTTGATTTGATCTGAATTGGTTGAAATGATTGAATGGATTTGAATTTATCTGAATTGATATGATCTTAATTGATCTGATTTGAATTGATCTGATCTGAATTGATCTGATCTGAATTGATCTGATCTGAATTGATCTGATTTGAATGGGTCTGAATTGATCTGAATTGATGTGAGATGATCTGAAAAGTGAATTAATCAGAATAGTGAATTGATCAGAAATGATTTGATTTGTTATGATTTGATTTGATTTGATTTGATTTGACTTGATTTGCCTTGATTTGATTTGATTTGATTTGATTTGATTTGATTTGATTTGATCCGAATTGATCCGAATTGATCCGAATTGATCCGAATTGATCCGAATTGATCCGAATTGATCCGAATTGATCCGAATTGATCCGAAATGATCCGAATTGATCCGAATTGATCCGAATTGATCTGAATTGAACCGAATTGATCCGAATTGCTCTGAATTAATCTGTTTGATCAGGAGACTGGTGAGGAGATGGGCTGGATAGAGGAGAAGAAGCGTAAACTAGAATCCAACAATAAAACTGCAGATGAATCCAACCTTACGGAAAAGATTAAACTCCTTCAAAAGCATCAAGCCTTACAGGTAAAACAGAGACAAAATTTATTGAATTTGAACTAGGTCGCTAAACTTCCTACCGCCGATTCAACTACTTATCTTCACTTATCTAAAGACTATGGAACATACTGAATCACTAATTCAAGAGACATGGTTGAACCGTCTCTTGGATTAGTAAAAATATTAAGTTTGGTCTATTTATAATAACTATTGATACAATAGCGGAATGAATTTTTTATCTTACAATTAGAAATGCAGCTGTACTAGTAATTAATTGTGACTCTCTTTGCAATGATTGCCAAGCCCAAATCGCAAAGGTAAAACTTTTTATGATCAACAATGTGGAAGATATGGACGTTAATAAAAGTGTTAATTTCTGATAATTCGGTTATGTTTTCCAAAAGTCGAAATGCGCAAGTCACTTAAGTAAAGAAATTCAACAGATTTCGAAATTCTAAACATTGTATCTAATTCATATGTCTAGGCTGAGATAGAGCGTCACAAGCCACAGATTACGGAGGTGTGTACGAAGGGAAACCGTTTGGTTCAGAAGCGTCACGAAAACTCCCCGTCTATCAACCAGAATCTGAATCAGCTGTCTAAATGCTGGGAGGAACTCCAGCTGCAGTCAAACCTGTTTCACATTCAGGATTGGATGAGGCCCGAGGTATTCTTGAGTTTAGAAATGAAGTTGGAAAAATAGAGTCCTGGATCCGAGACAAGGAACTACTGGTTTCTCAAGGTTGGTACTTCTTCAATGTTTTTAGAAATTTTTGAAGATGCAATATTTGTGAAAACTTTTTGAGAAATGACAAGTACTGCTTCTTCTTGAACCCCACTTGATGCATAGATATACTAATTGATTGTACACAATTTGATTTGATTTGATTTGATTTGATTTGATTTGATTTGATTTGATTTGATTTGATTTGATTTGATTTGATTTGATTTGATTTGATTTGATTTGATTTNTCCACCTGATGAATCATGACTTGAAATTTCAGGTGACCTGGGGAAAGACTTTGAGCATTGTCTTGAACTACAGAAGAAGCTTGATGATGTAGATGGAGATATGAGGGTTGATGAGTCCAGGATATCAGAGGTAGGAAATTAGTTCATGATTTTTATATTTTCTTGATCCAACAGCATGGAAGCAAAAATTGTATGTTATAAGATATTTGGTATGGCTGATCGGTTAGCGGCTGAAGCAGGAACTGAGGCCGGGGGAGTCCTTGAGAAGCGTTCAGAGATTCAAAACAAATGGAAGAACCTTCAGGGGTCTATCCAAACTTACAGAGAACATTTGTCCATTGCAGGAAACATTCATGCTTTCCAGAGAGACACTGATGAGACCCTGGCTAGAATCAAGGAGAAGTTGGTTCTGGTGGACATGGAGGATCAAGGGAAGGATCTCAAGGATGTTCAAGAATTGATCAAGAGAACCGAATCAGTGGTAGAGTACATGACAGGACTGGAGAAGAGGATCAAGGATCATGAAGTTGTGAGTAAGCAGCTGATCACCAAGTATCCTGACATGACCAACAGTGTAGCAGAGAAGATGGAGAATCTAAATGCTGCTTGGCAGAAAACAAACCAGAGGATTGTGGAGCGTGAAGCAGAACTTGGCAACTCCCAACAGTTTCACCAGTTTGTTCATGATTGCAAGGAGCATCAAACATGGCTTCTAAACATGGACACAAAGTTGAAGGCTGTAGGTGTTCCTTCCTCCGCGTCTGAGGCAGATGCTTTCCTTTCCCTGCATCAAGAGCGTAAGTCTGAGCTCTCAGCCAGGAAAGAGATGCTAGAGATGCTAAGGAAACATGGAGAAAACCTGCTTGAAGAGAAGCACTCAGAGTCTGAGAAGATCCAATCAGAAATGGAGAAAACTCTGGAGATTCAGGAGAATGTTGCCCAAAGCTGGGACAGAACCAAAGTATTGCTTCTGCAAGGAAATCAATTGCATGCATTTAAACTCCAGCACCAACGTGCCCTTGGATGGTTGGAAGAGAAAGAAGCTGTTCTTAACAATGATGATCTTGGGGATAGTCTTGCTGCTGTAGAAGCTCTCACCCGAAAGCATGAAGGCTTTATCACTACATTGAACAAACAGGCTGAGGTGATTGAAGATCTTGAAAGGAAGGGAGGAGAACTTGTTTCTGAAGACCATTATGATGCTGACAAAGTTAAGGAGTTGTTGGAGAATATTAGAACAAGATTGGAATATATCAAAGAGAAGGGAGAGACGAGAATGAAGAAGCTGAACGCTTCTCGTCAGCTCCAGCAGTTCTTGCGTAAAGTGTTTGATATCAAGACTTGGGTGAAGGAGAAGGTTCAGGTTGCCCTAGATGAGTCCTACCTAGATCTTAGCAACCTTGTTAACAAGATCCAGAAGCATTCCAGCTTTGAGGCAGAGATTGCCGCAAACAAACCTCGCTTGGCCTCCATCAAAACTGAAGGCCAGGCTCTGTGTCAGGAATCCCATTTTGCCAGTATTGAGATCGCCTCTCAGCTTGAAGACCTACAGAGTGAATGGACCCATCTTATAGAGACTTCCAGTCTTAAGAAGACCAGACTTCATGAGGCCAACTCAGCTCTCATCTTTCTTCATAGCATTGATGAGTTTGAGGTTTGGTTGGAGGAAGTTGAAACTGGTCTTGAGTCTGAAGATCATGGCAAGGACATGAACTCAGTGTCGAAACTTCTCAAGAAGTTGTCAACCATAGAGGGTGAGGTGTTGAAGCGTAAAGACACACTTCAGGCTCTGGAACAGCAATGTGAAAAGTTTGGAGCAAACAAGCATTTCATGATTACCGAACTTGAATCCAAGTTCGCCGGGGTCCAGTCCCGGTATGAACTTCTCCAGGAGCCCCTGCAAATCCGACGGGAGAACCTTGAGGACTCTTCTCTTCTCCATCAGTTTAACCGTGAGGTTTCCGATGAAACATTCTGGCTGGAAGAAAAGCTTCCACTTGCTGCCTCAACCCATCTTGGAAATAGTCTGACAGAGGTTCAGACCCTTCAACAGAAACATCAAGTGCTGGAGTCTGAGATACAAAGTCATGAGAAGGTGATCAACCTTTTAGTCACCAAGGCAGACCAGATGATAAGGTAGATATATTTCCAAAAGTTAAACTTTGAGGAAATTCTAAAACTAAATCCATTTTGATTATTTTACTTGCAGGTCAAACCATTTTGCGTCCGATGACATCAAGGAGACCTGTGAGCATCTGAAGGAGGGATACAGTCAGCTCAAGGACCTCAGCTCACTTAGAAAGCTCAGGCTCACAGATGCAGTTGAGTCTCAACAGTTCTTCTTCAAACTATACGAGGTATTTTAGATGTTTAGTTTTATCATTAATTTGATTAGTGTTCATTTCATTTTTAGTATCCACTGAATCTTGTTTGTTGTATTCTAATATGAATATAATTGAAAAGTGATACATTTTTGGACAGTCATTAGGCAAAATTTGCAAATATGCAAAAATCCAAATTTGTATAGTAATTCCTGTTAAAACATGGTTGTGATTACATTTTAGTAACGCCCTGAACCATGCATCCCATTTAAATATGCCAAAAAAGTTTACAAAGTTGTGAATATTTTCTTTACAGAGTTTGTGTTTCTTAACATCAATTGTGTTATCTACTATCTTTACAAAAAGCTGAAAATCATTAAAATCAATTTACGATAATTAGGTAAAAACAGAAATTTGGTTTGGCATAGAAAAAGTAGCCATTCAGGCAGTATGTTAGTGGACTTTGGGAAATGCTGTAAAAGCCTGCTTAAATTAAAGTTAAAGTAAAAGTCTGATTATCTGCCCAATATTTTTTTAGCAATGAACAATAGAGTTGCAACCTTGTCTACTTCTGAGATGCGTGAAAACTTTAGATCCCTGAATCTGATCTTGTCCTTTTTGCAGGTGGTAGAATGGATTAAAGAGAAGGAGCCCATTCTTAAGGTCAAGGACATAAAGAACGACGAGGACAGTGTCCTCATCTACCTCAAGAAGATCAACGACATCCTTGCCGAGATGGAGGGATACAATAAGAAGATCGAGACGATCAAAGCAATGAGTGAGAAGATGATCGAAAGATCTCACTTTGACAGTGCTAACATCCAAACCAAAATGGCGGATCTCACAGATTTCCATGTTAACTTTAAGGTAACTAAATACACAGTGTGCTTCATGCCAGTTTTTTATTTCGCACTTTTTTGAAATAAAAAATAAAAATGTTCGCAGATTTTCCCGTTTTTCTAATTTTTACAAACATCGAAACAAACCAACATAAAAGCTAAATATATGATGGGGAAAGTGTTTATAGTCCCCCCCCCCATTGATATTTTATTTTTATAAGCTTTAAAAGTTCACATCAAATATTTGAAATAAATACTTTGATTAAAATCTTGTATTTTGCAACAAAAATCCGTCTGAACTTTTTTAAAAGATTGGTAAAACTCGCTAGGGAAATACCCAACATTCAAACTTAATAAACTGTGTAGCAATCCTTGGATGTTAGGTATTCTAAAGTGGGGCATGGCTCAAATTTGGTCGTGTGGCTGGGCGCTTCGCAATTACAAAGTAAACAAAAAGTAGCATTAAATGTATATTTATCTTATAAACAGAAGGCCGGGCTGAAAAACCAGGAATGGAGAGGACTTGAAACTCCAATCCACTACTGGAGCCTTAGGCCATCCCTGCATCTTATGATTTGATTTGATTTGATTAGGCTGTTCTCCTGGAGCAGAAGAGAAGTCTGGTAGATCAGAAAGCAGTTCTAGAGTTTATTCATGAAACAGAGGAAGCAACTGAGTGGATAGATTCACAGATGATGGTTAGTCATTTATTCATTTCTTCATATATTCATTTATTTATTCATTCATTCATTCTTTTATTCATTTATTTATTCATCCTTTCATTCCTTCTTTCAGGCATCTATTCATTGTATATGTATTCATTCGTTTATTCATTTATTTGATTTGATTTGATTTATGTCTTATGCATTGGTTCGTTGGTTCATTCATTTTGTTTCACTCATTTTGGCTTATTCTTTGCGACTCATTCATTGTCATTCATTCATTTTTGTTAATTATTTTGACCAACTCATTTTTGTTAAATTAAATTTGTATCATTCATTATGATTTGCATAGAAGTCACAAGTGAAAATGATCAATCAAATTATGGATATTTCGCTTTTGATCAGACATTGGATTACAGGGTAATGTTGTGAATCAGACATGCCATTCTAAATCCCGTTAACACTCCCTTTAATATTCAGGTTTCTGCCTCCGAGGACTATGGGAAGGATGTCAGTCATGTCGAGATCCTCATCAAGAGCTTCGACACCTTCCTTCAGAGCGTTCAGGAGTTTGAGATCAAGATCAACAGGGTGGTGGCCTTAGGACAAGGTAAACATGACAAGGTTTTCCAAAAAACAGTTCTGGAACAACAACAAAAAACGGTTAATAATAATAAATCCGGTACTTAACTTTTAACACCTTCCCTGCTGGCCGCCGCTCTGGGGTACTTGAAAACCAGGATACGCTGGAGGGTGGGTCAATTTGCCCCCCCCCCCCCACCAAATATGGCAAATGATAAATCATTGGAAATCTCTACTTTTAGAATCTGCAAAAAATTGCAAATTTGCAAAAATTGAATTTTTTTGCAAAATCCTGTCAAATAGTAAAAAGCTTGCAAAAAAATAAATGTCGATAAAATATACATTTTTGATAAGCCCTTGACCATGCCTTTTTAAAAATGCAAAATTATTGCAAAATTTTAAATAACCTGATGTGTGATTGAGAAAAACCAAAAATGTGCAACGTGTTGTTCGCAAATAATTTGCAAAAATTCTTTGCAAAACTTGTGCAAACCGTTTCCTTATGTCGAAGGCTTTCCAAAATGCTAAAAATTATCAAAATCTGGCAACTGAAAGTGGGTTAAAACAAAGATTTAGTTTGTTATAGAAAAAAGTAGCATTCAGGCAGTGTGCTTGAGGACTCAGGCAGTTAGTATAAAACCCCCGGTTTTAGACCTAAAGGGATGATTATGGGTATTTAGGAAAAGTCAGAAAATTTCAACAGCCTCAGACCAATACTTTTTAAGTAACGTAAAAAAACTACTGTTTGTATAAAATGCCTTCTTTTTGAGCGAAAATTTTATGTTTTTTTAAAAAAAAATGGTATTGAAGGCTTTAAAAGCTAGTTTTTGTACATTTTCTTTACACTTTTCAGATTATAAAATGCCTTTTTTTCGAAATTAGAAAATGTAAATACTTTCAAATTTTTTATTTTGGATTTTGAAATCTCACTACCGCCAATACCATAAGGCTCAAAATTCTTAACCACCCTGAACATTCAAGAATTTTCAGGAATATCTATGTTTATATGTAATTTGCTTTTCTGTTAGATTGTATCCAATAAACGGCAAAACGGCTAAACCGATCAGGCCCAAATTTTGTGTGGGACTTCACATGTCCCTTAGGAAGGTTTATAGACTATCAAAATTTCAAAAATTTCTCTCGAAAATTCGATCTTAATTATATTTTGAAAAGTCAACGAAATTTTTTTTTATTAAATCCGCGAAATTTTTTTGTTTTTGTTTTGCAATGTATACAAAGAGAAAAAGTTCAAAAAATTAAATTAAAGATGGTTGCGAAGCGCCCTGAAAACCTTGTATGATGTATGTGATATGTATGTATTTGTTAAATTATGATCAGAGATGAAAGTTTAAATGGTTCCTGTTGTAAATCGGACTTGCCAATCTATTCATGGAGAGTCCTTTAAGTTTATGTCTACAGTCTTCAACTTATAGGATTGCTGGATGAGGAGAATACACACAGTGAGCTGGTGCAGAGCCGGTTAACCGAGCTGACCCAGCTCTGGGAGGATCTTAAGGAACTATCTGCTGCTAGACATGAAGCTCTTAATGGAGCTAAACAGGTGATTTATTTATTTATTTATTTATTCATTCATTTATTTATTCATTCATTCATTTAGTTATTTATTTATTCATCCTTTTAGTTATTGTTTAGTCATTCATTCATTCATTCATTCACTCATTCAACCAATCTGTAAAAAATGCTTTAATATTGGTCAGACTGCTAAATTGATCAATTTGACTGAAGTGCTTCATCAATTGATCAATTTTACATCATTGCCGGACTGGATCAGGATTAAACGTAACGGTATTGGTCGGAAACTACCTGTGGGCGGTCCATATGTTTAATATTGATTCTGTGTCGGTGCATGAGTTGATTATTAACTGTTTTTTATTATTAAATATTTTTTTTTTTAATTTTAAAAAATTTGGTTTATTTTTTTTTCAGGTCCATGTGTTTAATATTAATTGTGTGTAGGTGCTTGAGTTGATAATTAACTGTTTTTTTAATTTTTTATTATTTCATATGTTCAGGTTCATGTGTTTGACAAGAATGCTGATGAGACAATGTCCTGGATAGGAGAGAAGGAGGCTGAGATGAGTACAGAAGAGCTGGGACAAGATCTGGAGAGTATTCAGAGCTTGCTGGAGAGACAACAAGGGTTTCATAGAGATCTTGATGCTATCAAGGTAGGATACAGTTCTTCTCATAGAGATCTTGATGCTATCAAGGTAGGATACAGTGCTTCTCATAGAGATCTTGATGCTATCAAGGTAGGATACTGTTCTTCTCATAGAGATCTTGATGCTATCAAGGTAGGATACTGTTCTTCTCATAGAGATCTTGATGCTATCAAGGTAAGATACATTGCTTCTCATAGAGATCTTGATGCTATCAAGGTAGGATACAGTTCTTCTCATAGAGATCTTGATGCTACCAAGGTATGATACAGTGCTTCTCATAGAGATCTTGATGCTATCAAGGTAGGATATAGTTCTTCTCATAGAGATCTTGATGCTATCAAGGTAGGATACAGTGCTTCTCATAGAGATCTTGATGCTATCAAGGTAGGATACAGTGCTTCTCATAAAACTATGAACTTAGGACTTTCAGATGGTAAGTTTGCTAATAAATGGTCAAATTAACATAAGTCAAAGTAATTGTAATTGTATATTGATTTCGTCGTTTATCTAACTTAAAAATGTGAATAATTTTGGCAATTTTCTCCCGTGCTTCTGAAGCAGTAATTACCCCACTATTGAAAATGTTTAAATTTTTAAAAACATGTAGGCTTAATTCATTCTTGAACTTTTATCTGATCAGTAAATTGGAAGATATCGTTGTTTTTCTGGCTTAAAAATGTGTTGGCAATTTTCTCCCGTGCTTCTGAAGCAGAAATTTCCCCACTATTGAAAATGTTCAAATTTTTTATAACATGGAGGCTTAATTCATTCTTGAACTTTTATCTGATCAGTAAATTGGAAGATATCGTNTAATTACCCCACTATTGAAAATGTTTAAATTTTTAAAAACATGGAGGCTTAATTCATTCTTGAACTTTTATCTGATCAGTAAATTGGAAGATATCGTCGTTTTTCTAGCTTAAAAATGTGAATAATTTTGGCAATTTTCTCCCGTGCTTCTGAAGCAGTATTTATAGAAAAACTACAATTGAAAATGCTCAAATTTTTAAAATCAAGTAGGCTTAATTCATTTTTGAACCTTTATCTGATCAGTAAATTGGAAGATATCGTCGTTTGCTTGAAATTTGTATAATTTTGGCAGTTTTCCTCCGTGCTTCTGAAGCTGTATTTATAGAAAAACTACAGTTGAAAATGTTTAAATTTTTTAAATCTATGGAGTCTTAATTTATTCTTGAACCTTTATCTGATCAGTAAAGTGGAAGGTATCGTTGTTTTTTTAGCTTTAAAATGTGAATAATTTTGGCAATTTTCTCCCGTGATTCTGAAGCGGTAGTTAAAGAAAAACTACAATTGAAAATGTTAAAATTTTTAAAATCACGTAGGCTTAATTCATTTTTGAACCTTTAACTGATAAGTAAATTGGAAGATATCGTCGTTAGCTAGCTTGAAATTTGTATAATTTTGACAATTTTATAGATACAGTTGTGAATCGGACATGTCACAGTATAAATAGAGAGTAGACTACTTGGAATTACGACTACATTCCCTTTAACATATCTTATAATGTGTCCAGGAGCAAGTAGCTGAGGTAGAGAAGGAAGCAGGTGTACTCAGTGAACTATTTGTCAAAACATAAACAAACAAATTGTGAACCTAGCAGACGAAACTCTTACAGATTACAGATTACAGCTTTCTCAGTAGGTATCACTATACTAAATCAAAGAATTATCTAAAAAGACGATATCGAATTCGTCACTGAATTCCCATGTTTATTGGGACACCCTGTACAGCGCAATGTATTGAATATAGGAAGGGAAGGTTGAAGCAGAACTTTACTTGAATGACAAAACCTCTTAAAACGCACTATTATTTTACCAATGTTTTTTACATTTTTCATACAGACCAAGCAGTTGGGTCTACTATTAATGTGTACCTTCAAATATGCATTACAATTTTCCTTAACTCTAAAGAATTTCCAGCACTTTTATTTTAAAAATCTTGGAATGATTTTCCATGAATGTAAACACCCCTGCCACAGTTGAATGGGGTTAACTGTATAGGGAAGGACGGTTGAAGCAGAATCAACAGATCCAGAGATACTTTGACGATTACCGTGAACTCATGGCCTGGAGTAGCGAGGTCATCGCTAAAATTACCTCCCCTGACCTGGCCTCTGACCTCTCGGGGGCCGAGACTTTGATCTCCCGGCACAAGGAGATCAGGAGGGAGATGGACAGCAGGCTGGAGGCCTTCAACAAGTTCGAGAGGAGTGGGAAGGAGTTGGTACAGGAGGGACACTTCATGGCTGCAGAGATATTAGAGAAAATATCAGTTCTTAACTCGAGGTAATAAAGTAATATTTAGTTGCCCGCGGATTTTAAAATCTGCAGAAAAAGGCCGAAACGGTTAATTAAAGATCTATGCCACCTTTTCTTTATCACCAAACATTATATATGTTGAAACTCATTTTTGTTTAAAAAGAACAGTGTCTAAAATATTGAGATTTTTTGCTGAGACCTTTTTTTTAAGCTTATTGATTTTCTATTTAATCATCTATCTATCTATCTATCTATCTAGCTATCTATCTATCTATCTAGAAAAGAGAAGATGTATGAAGGGTGGCAACTACGTGAGGAGCTGTATATCCAGCATCTAGATTATCTATCCTGGTGTAAAGAAACTGATGCCATAGAAAGCTGGATCTCTTCAAGGGAACCAACAGTCAAGGTCAGTTCAAAAATTCTCCGTTAGATGGAATTGTTATGTAATATAAAATCGAATTTTAAAGCAAATAAGTCTTGAAATGTAAAATATCATGGAATGGAATAGAATTTGGAATGAGTTGTTTAATTAATTGTGGAATTCAGTTTTGGAATGGAATTTGGAATGCCATGTAAAGAGGATTTTTGACTGGAATGAAACCTTCAATTAGTGGAACTTGAATTAGTAGAATGGAACTTGAATGGAATGCAACAAATGCATCAGTAGATTGGAATTTTAATGGCATAGAACCTTGAATTAGTGGAACTTTATTAAAATTTAGTATAAATGTTCCTAAATGTATTTAATATAAATATTTAAATGAATATATTAGGACGTGAACCTCGGTGGTAACATTGACGAGGTGGAGGAACTGTTGAAGAAGCAGAGGGACTTTGAGGGAGCCATCATAGCCCAGGAGGACAAGCTCCAGGGCGTGCACAGGATCACCCTCATCGAGAAGAATTTCGCCGCCCTCCGAGAACGTGAGGAGGCCGCCCGGCGCCAAGAGGTCATCCAAAAGGAGCAGGAGAGGTTGGACAACATCAAGAAGAAGGAGCTGACCAGGATAACTAATGAGAGGAGGAGGGAGAACGAGCGCCGAAGAACCCAAGAGATAAAGTTTAACAGGGAGGACTTCGATGCTATGCGTGCTGTTGGGAACGGTAAGAGCTCTGAGGGTAGCTCTACTGTTTCTCCGGCCAATGAGGAAGTTTATGCTTTCAACAAACGAGGTATATATGCAACAGAATAATTATCTTCCTTAATCCCCCTCTCCTCTCACCCTTCAAACTTAAAAGCCCCTAAAAACTAAAATGTTTTCACTCCTTTTCACCCAATGTATAGTAAACAATATAAGGGTGGGAGTAGATCCTAATGGATTACTAAAGACTACTAAATGTTTAGGAGAAAGTATGAGGGTGGGAGTAGATCCTAAGGGATTAATAAAAACTACTAAATGTTTAGGAGAAAGTATGAGGGTGGGAGTGGGTACTAAGGGAGTACTAAAGCCTACTAAATGTTTAGGAGAAAGTATGAGGGTGGGAGTAGATCCTAATGGATTACTAAAGACTACTAAATGTTTAGGAGAAAGTATGAGGGTGGGAGTGGGTACTAAGGGATTAATAAAAACTACTAAATGTTTAGGAGAAAGTATGAGGGTGGGAGTAGGTCCTAAGGGATTAATAAAAACTACTAAATGTTTAAGAGAAAGTATGAGGGTGGGAGTAGGTCCTAAGGGATTAATAAAAACTACTAAATGTTTAGGAGGAAGTATGAGGGTGGGAGCAGGTCCTAAGGGATTAATAAAAACTACTAAATGTTTAGGAGAAAGTATGAGGGTGGGAGTAGGTACTAAGGGATTACTAAATGTTTAGAAGAAAGTATGAGGGTGGAAGTGGGTCCTAAGGGATTACTAAATGTTTAGGAGAAAGTATGAGGGTGGGAGTAGATCCTAAGGGATTACTAAAGACTATTAAATGTTAAGGAGAAAGTATGAGGGTTGGAGTGGGTACTAAGGGATTACTAAAAACTAATAAATGTTTAGGAGAAAGTATGAGGGTGGGAGTGGGTACTAAGGGAATACTAAATGTTTAGGAGAAAGTATGAGGGTGGGAGTGGGTACTAAGGGATTACTAAATGTTTAGGAGAAAGTATGAGGGTGGGAGTGGGTACTAAGGGATTACTAAAGACTACTAAATGTTTAGGAGAAAGTATGAGGGTGGGAGTGGGTACTAAGGGATTAAAAAAGACTACTAAATGTTTAGGAGAAAGTATGAGGGTGGGAGTTGGTACTAAGGGATCAATAAAAACTACTAAATGTTTAGGAGAAAGTATGAGGGTGGGAGTGGGTACTAAGGGATTAAAAAAGACTATTAAATGTTTAGGAGAAAGTATGAGGGTGGTAGTGGGTCCTAAGGGATTACTAAAAACTACTAAATGTTTAGGAGAAAGTATGAGGGTGGGAGATGGTCCTAAGGGAGTAATAAAGACTATTAAACGTTTAGGAGAAAGTATGAGGTTGGTAGTGGGTACTAATGGAGTACTAAAGACTATTAAATGTTCAGGAGAAAGTATGAGGGTGGGAGTGGGTACTGAGGGAGTACTAAAAACTACTAAATGTTTAGGAGAAAGTATGAGGGTGGGAGAGGGTACTAAGGGATTACTAAAAACTATTTAATGTTTAGGAGAAAGTATGAGGGTGGGAGTGGATCCTAAGAAAGCTAAAAGAACTCCCAGTTTTACAACAAGAAGAAGAACACAGAGCTTTAGAAGACACACGAAAAATCTAGGCAAACCTTGCTTTCATTAATTTCTAGTCTTGTTTCAATCAAATATCTAATTAGTCTTAGTGTGTCATTTGTCATTTTCAATTAGGTCCTCACGCCAAATGATGGACGCATGCTCAGTCTTCATACCCATTTCTCACGCGCTTGCAAATATGATTCAACAATAAAAACCTCAAAAGCTTCCAACTTAATTTTAAAAATATTTTTTTCTTATTCCATTTAACTTTAATGGACTGTAAGCGTAAATTTAAGTGATTCTCCATGCAATAATGGCAAGTCCTTTTCACAATAGTGGCCAATAATTGCTGGTCTGATGAATTTGATGTTTATAATTTTGAAAACTGATTATTGTCATGTTGTTTTCTCTACAGTAATGACATGCTTATTTCTACTGAAGAAAAATAAATAGGAATTATTAGAATTAAATACTTAAAAAAACGACAATAACTTATTTTTGATCAGATAAAGGGTTCGGGCCGTTATAAATCTTTGCATGTAGAAATTACACTTGCGGTCTCTGTTCTTTTTATTTATTGCTAATATTTATCACAAATTTTTTTAAGTCACTTATTTATTCTTAAAAAATTCATATATTTTTTACTATTAGATACTTTTTACCTACAAATTCTGTTATTTTCCCAAATTCAGATAAAAAATTGAATTTTTTTAAAAACAAATGTGGGCTGGGGAATTAATTACTAGGGGGGGGGAATATTTTTCGAGAAAATATACAGCCCTGTGTTGTCCTCGTCCCTTATATAAGTTAAGCAAGGGTATGTTTGCAGCCTCTGTCGAGAATCTGCCTCCTGTAGAGGTTGATGGCTTTCTGGACAGGAAACAGGAACTTCAAGCAGGAGGGAAGAGAGCTACTATGAGGTAAAAACATAGATTAAAAACAACACAGATAGAACACTAGATGTCGTCTTCTCGTTCACAATATCCCTGAGCCAGAAGCCCAAAGGTGTTCTGCGCAGATAGTGTTCTATCATGTGTTGTTATTAATCTATGGGTAAAATGTTTTTTAAAAATCATTTTTGATTTTTAGAAGCTCTTGTTGCATTATCGCTATTGTTACTCTTAATTATTATTATAATTGTTATTTTTATTAATATATTATCACTGTCAGTCATTGTTATAATGTTGATTGTATGTTCGTTAGTCATAATGACTAACGAACATACATTACATTGTTGTCCGTGTGGTTATTGTTGTTTTTATTGTTATCTTTGTTTTGAATTATTATTCTTATTATTATCATTATTTTTAATTTGTCAAAATGATCTTGGTAACATATTAAATGTTTATTTTGAAATAGAACTCTTAAAAATGAGTTTTCTTATCTCACAGTTGTCTGGTGGGCTGTGCTACTAAATATTTGGTTTTAATGAATAAATGTTTGCCAGGTCCTGGAAGAATTATTACACTGTGCTCTGTGGCCAGCTGATGTGTTTCTTCAGAGACCAAGAGGATTTTTTCCAGTCCAAGGCGGGTTCCAGTCCCGTCACCATCTACCAGGCCGGAATAGAGGCTGCCAATGATTATACTAAGAAAGCGTTTGTATTCCGAGTCCACGCTACGGATGGGTCTGAATATCTGTTCTCTGCTGAGTCCCAGGAGGAGCAGGAGGAGTGGGTCAAGAAACTCAAGTTCCACGCCTCCCTCTCACCGGCCAAACAGCTGACAAGTTATAAAAGTGTTGAGGAGGTACAGGGGGAACCGGTTTATGCCAACCTGGCCAGTTCTCCGCCGCTTCCCGTCTCAATACCACCACCGGCGGGGTCCAGAGAGTCCGGCTTCGGAGTTGCGGGCACCCGGGATATACTTAACAAGAAACCTGGTTCCAGGGAACCTATCTCTGTTGTTGATGGAAGAACTTCTATCCCAGAATTTGGTCCTCCTCCAGTCTATGCTAATGTAGATAAACTCCGTCCAGAAAGATCCTCTACCCTCCCTGTACACTCCCGGAGCTCTGGAGGAGATCAAGATTCAGATACCCTCTCTGTAACCTCTAGCAAGGAGAAGAAGAGTAGTGTTCTTGGACGATTTCTAGGCAGAAAAAATCCCAAATAGTATCGCTAGATGTCGCCCTAACCCATTACGTACGGCATTGTAACTGCACACTGTACAGATATATATTCTTAATATGTAATACTCCAAGCATTTTACCAGTGCTTGTAAATATTTTATAGTTCCAGGATATTTTATTTCATGTACATTGTACATCCTAATTTTTTATATGAAAATATAATTATTATTTTTATGATATGGTTTTATGGAATTTATGTATAGCGATAAGATAAGTTTCCAATTAAGGGTGATGTTGTTCTGAATTCCAATTTTCTGAAATTCTTCCCTTTTTTGATTTTCTTTGAGACTTTTTTCTTACTTTTTTTATTTTCTCTTGTGAGTAACTGTCCAGGAACTTATGGTGAAGAGGCATTATTATTAATTAAATACTTATTCCTATTTTGATTTTTGATGAGCTTAAGGGGAAGAAAATTTAAGCAAAATTAAATTTTTTTTCTTGCTAGCTAGCTAGATTCAAATATTCTTTTTCTGGTTTTCTAAGAGAACCATTTTTGTCTTCTCCTTACGCACATTCAGGGGCGGGCTATGATGTTTTCCAGAGGAGGGGATATTTGAAGAGAGTAAAAGTGGCGCTACAGGCAAAAAAAAATTTAATTTATTCTTAAAATTCAAAATTTTAAGGGCTAAAAGGGGCTTGGTCTCTCTTTCTGTGCCCTGAATTTTTCGGGGGGGCATCCCCCCAGTTTTCTAGGGAGGTGTTCGTCCCCCCCCTCAATAAGCCGCCTCTGCGCACATTTTCACTTCACTTTTCTCATCCCTGTACAAGATTTGTTTTTTTATGGAATTTATGCGACGATATCCCTTCTGAGGTGCATGGGTAGTCTAGTGAATTGGACATGCCATTCAATAAATGGAAAGTTATTAAGTTTAAATATTAAGTTTACAATCCCTTTAACCCCCCCCCCCCAAGCAAATCTGCCCCTTTGGTAAATGTAAATTCAACCTTTATGAAGCATAAAGTCTGACCGCGTCAACCTTGTTGCACCGGCTAGTCTTGTCCATAGAGCTAGGTACAGTACAAACTGGGACCGGAAAGGTTGACCGAGCTCGGAAATTCAAATGTACTACGGCCGCCCCCTTTATATTGTACTGTATCTGGATATGTTGAGGAGATGTTTGCTGAATCTTTATTCTTATTTCCCGAAAAGTGCTAATATCTTCAAACTTATAAATTAAACATAACACTGAAAGGACTTATTTTGCAAGTGTTTCTAAAACTACACGGGAAACGCCGGGCACTTTAGCTAGTGCAATTAAATGCCATTATGAAAAGCTCCCAAAATATTTTTTCTCTCTAGTATTTATTGCACGATCATCAAAATATGAAAGATGACATAACAGCCATCCATAAATTATCATGTTTACTGGTGCATTCTGTGTATTGAGATGGTTGTTAATGAAAGTAACATTTATTGTAAACTTATGATAGTAATTTTTATTAGGCCTTTATTTTCTCATGTGATTTCAGCATTTTTTGCTATAAATTGGTCTCAAAACTTGTTAAAGCCAGCCACAAAACATAACAAAAAAGTTGTCAAAATAATGTTTGCCTAAAATAATTCAAACGTTGCGAAATAAAAACGCTATTTTGTGGAAACCCTATAGTCAAATGTCAATTATTCTTATTAAATTTAAGGTTCATAATTACTGAACATGAACAATTATGAAAATCTCTGCATAGTTTATATTTGAAATGAGCTTGAAACTATTTTTACATCTCTCTACTGGGTCACGTGACCAATACAAATAGTCCAGACTGCCCAGAGAAGGAAGATTACATTTTTTGAATGGAGTTTCCTTACATTTTATTCCATAAATAATAATTTTAAAATAATCTGTTAATAATATTTTTACGCTGAAATTATATTTTTAGCCATTTATGTTATTGTATTAAGATGAATAAGAATAAGGCTGCTTCTTGTAGGGGGACTGTACTTTTCAAATCTTTACAGCGTTATACGATAATTTCAGCGTCATTTTTTGCCTATCAATAATTCTAACATTTAGAAAGGGATTCATGACCAGTATAATAGTTTGGAGAATAAAGCTTGAAAAAATTAAAGCAAAATTGCATCTTCAATCCCTTTCAAAGCATTGAATTATAAAAAAAAAATGGTTTGATGGAAATTAGATAGATATTAATTAGAAAATAGATATTAAAAAAATAAGAATGAACTGTACTACTTAAATGTATCATTTACTCTCAGACAAATTTCCATTGATTCTAATCTGTCTGAAAGTAAATGACAGTCCTTTTTAAAAATAACAAATTATTTTTATTGTTTATTATTAATTATTTTGGAAAAGGTCATTCAATTAAAAAATCATTGAATTTTTTATACTACAGTGATAACCTGAAAACTCTGGAATAGGAAGACGACTTTTAAACTTAAATTAAGACTTCAGATTGTCTAATGAGCACGAGAAACAGAAATTATTCAGTGTAAACAGACCCATTTCAATTGATTTGTGATTTAATAAGTGTGTAGTAAAATTATTTGCTTTATAACAACATCAAATACACTTACGTATTGTTATTAAGTCGTCTTCCTATTCCGGAGTTTACTGTTACTGACTGCATACATCTTGAAATATTTTTTTGTAATAAATAGATTTTATTTTCAAGGATTGGAGTATGATGATAACAACAATTAGTCAATTGATCCTACCTTTAAAGTTACATGTATCTAAATAATAAATCTTTCAGGTTAACATTTGCCAAAATAACAAAGGTTTCGTTTTTACTTTGAACATTTTTAAACTTCAATAAACAGATACATTTACGTTTATTTGTTCCTTAGTATTAAATGAAAGCATTGTACAGTGAAACCCTTAATAACGAATACATCTATACTACTACATCTTCCTTAGTATTAAATGAAAGCATTGTACAGTGAAACCCTTAATAACGAATACATCTATACTACTATACTATATTACGTAAATTTCAGTATTTGCGAAAATAAATAAATATCCATGAATATGCGGGAACAGTTTTAAAGAGTTCCATATAATCATTTAATTAAAAAACTAAATATCTGCAACATTCCATTATCAGAAAGTGAAGAATACGACATTTGATGAATTCTTTCGATGTATTCGTTATTAAGGGTTTCACTGTAGCTGAATATTATTTATGATTATAATTGAACAACTTAAATCTAAGTGATTTTTGTTCTGTAGACAATTTTGCACACAAATACAGGGTGTCCTAATAAACATCGGAATTCAGTTACGATGTTGATATCGTCTTTGTAATTGGTTTTTTGATGTAGTGTTGGTGATGCATACTTTAGATATTTTAGATATTTTTGTTAAGAATTTTTTTTCAAATTTTTTTTTTATTTCATACTGTTGTACTTAGAAAAATGAGGAATGTCCGAATACAGACACAGAACAAGTTGTTTCTCTTCCCTGTCTAACTGAAAGAGACTGTAAAGGAAAAATGAAAGGGGGTTATATAGGCTGAAACCTGATAATCTCAGGCGTTGAATGATACATATAAGAAATCTATCTAATGTTCCTGTTTCGAAAAAATTTATATAAAACTGTGTCAAATTTATATGAATATTCATATATATGCAATTTTGTATAAGATAAAAATAAAATTTATTGATTCTTTCCAATTCAAATCTCTTAACATAAACTGTATAAAGTTAGACTTGATTTTAAATTAACTTTATGAATATTAATATTTCTTCTTTAACATATTTTTTGCTATGATAAATTTCAAATTTTCTAGTTTTTAATATTTACATTAATGGTTGACTTTAAAATGTGAAGCCTTTTATTTCTAAACTAAATAGTGATTCAGCAAACTTACAGCAGCAATTAACAAATGAAACATAGTGAAATAAAATAAAATAATTATTTTACTACTCTGAGCATAGAAGTATTTTCTTGCATTTTTCCATAAATGAACTCCGTGATTCAAGAAAGGCTAAGATTACAAAAGAAATCATATGCAATCACATTTTTTTAAATGTATAATATCTAATATAGATGTTTTTATCTTCTGTTATCTTCATCTATTTATTTAAGTACATTCATAAAGATAAAAATTCCTGACATCAGTTCATCTTTGTCTCAGAATGAGAGCACTTGTGTTTGCTCTACTGGTGGGAAGATGCCTGTCTCAGGATCTCTGTAATATTGATAACATTGATAAATATGATTGCGGTTTCAGTGGAACGACCCAGGCTAGCTGTGAAGCTGACGGTTGCTGTTGGGAACCTGCTGCAAGAAATGGATCCTTCAAAGACATTCCTTGGTGCTTCTATAACAGTGAATATGAACCACCTCCAGATCCCTGTGATGATATAGTTTGGTTCGCAGCAGATCCAGGATTCACTCAGGAGTACTATGATATCATGTATGATAACTATCTTGCTAATCTTAACATTGATGGCTCTGGTGCTGTAGTTGCTGCCCCTGACCAAGAAACACCCGGAGGATCTTACTACTATCACTGGATGAGAGATGCAGGACTAAGCATCAAAGCATGGCTTGACATTAATGATAATGATTATGATAAAGTACGAGTAGAGCTTGATGGCTATGCAGCTTGGGTTGCCAAAGTTCAGCATAAGACTGATCCGAATGGAATTGATGTGAGAATTGAGCCAAAGTTTACAATTCCTGATGGAGAACCCTACACAGGAGGTTGGTGCAGACCGCAGACTGATGGACCAGCCCTTAGGGCCATGGCCATGTCTAAATGGGGAATGATCCTGGCAGAGACAGGCAAGGGAGATCCATCAAGTATTTGGGAGATTGTTAAGTTTGACATGGCATGGGTGACTGAAAACTGGAAAGAGCTTGGCTGTGATTTATGGGAGGAGGTGAGGTCTGATGACTTTTTCTTCAATCGGATGGCTTACATTTATTCCCTCAATGTTGCAGCTGACTTTGCTGATATGATTGGGGAGAGTGGTGCTGCTTATAGAACCAAAGCAGATGAAATTGCAACAGCAACTAAGTCTCACTGGAAGGATGGATTTCTGTATGAATCAACTAATCGTCCATATGATGGCGCAGTTATTCATTCAATCGCAACCTTTGGAGAATATCTGTTTCCCCCAGAGTCTGAGGAAGCCGCAGCAACAATTAAAGTTTTAGCAAAAGCATTTTGTAGAGAATATCCAATCAATCAAGAAGAAATCTATGCTGGTCTTCCAGGACTCTTAATTGGACGCTATCCTGGAGATTCCTATGCAGGAGGAAACCCTTGGCAGCTCCTTACTGCTGTTCTAGGAGAGCTGTTTTACCTGGGAGGTAAAGCCACTTTGAAGAGTGTGAGGCAAAGAGGAGATTACACGCTCAAATACTCGGCTAACAAGGAATGGATGAGCCTTTTGAACCTCAAGGAAGGTGCTACTGCCAGTGACCTGGCTAGAGCTCAAGTTGGTGCAGGTGATGCTGTGATGACTAGCTTGTGGTCCCATGTCCAGGATGCGGATGGAAGAATGGACGAACAGATTGACAAGCGTACTGGAGTTCAAGCCTCAGCACAGGGATTAACCTGGAGCTATGCCAATATACTCCATGCTCTTCATGTACGAGAGTAAGTTTAACACCTTTTATATTTCTATGGTGTTTACACTTTTTATCTCATATCCATGTTTAGGAACTTGGACCCAGGAGATTTTACAACTTCTGAACCAACTGAAGGAACAACAACTAAGCCTGATGGACCCACCCCTAGTGGACCCACAGATGGACCAACTGATGGACCTACTGATGGACCAACTACAGGTAACTCTTCATTTCTCAATCAGTCTGATAATCAAATAAGACTAAACAATAACAAATTGTGATGTTTATTTGTAGAACCTCCAAAGACCTGCTGCAATGCTGTCAAGTTTGTGTCAACAGGAAACATATTCGCTGAATATCCTGAGTTTGTCGGGAACTACAGGCAGATTGCAACTGATGACAAAGGTATTTTAAATTCAAAGAAAATAGATTATTAATATTTTACATTTTTTTAGATAGGAAGGTTTTTCAGCATATCTCTAGTGGAGCACATCTTCATTATGTAGAGGACATTCATTATAAGGTACATATAGGGTGTCCCACGAAACAAGACAGTTGGGGAATAGAATTTAAAATGTCTTCTTCCATAATTAGTAAAGTTGTTTGATAATAAAGAGAATGATAAAAAATATATGGCGATCTTATTATAACAAAATTGATTTCAAAGTAAAATGAATTTAAGTAAAAAGATGTTTTTAACGAAATAAAGTGCAAAAGTCTTTTATATTTAATAAAGTACTTGGTAGAAGACATTCAAAACTATTCACTAACTGTCATGTTTCGTGGGACACCCTGTACGTCCCATTAAATGAGGAAATTAAGTGATAAAGATCTTTGAAAAAAATATGTAAAGAAATTTGTAAAATTTGTAAAAGCATTTGATAGACTAAAAATGGAGCAAATACATTCTTAATTTTTTTTTACATGTACATTATGTAAAAATTATGTATCTGTTTTGAGCATGTATCTAGTAAAATTAGATTTACATTGTGATCCTGGCACATTTCTGGTTTAGGGATTCATGTGCAGTGTAATTAGAGTTTTCAACGCAAGTGAATTTTATTTGTGCGCAAGAGAAATTTAATTGCGCGCAATAAACGCAACAGAATTGCGCGCTATAGCGCGCAATTGCGTCTTACTTTCTTCCGTTTGTGTTTTAATTTTTTGATAGTATTCAATTTAAACCTTATGGCACGCAATAAATGCAATTAATTATGGCGCAGTTCCGTATAACAACAAAAAATCAATCTTAACTTTGGAAGTGGATTACAATAAACTGAACTAACATTTCAGTCTCAAATGCTAAGAAAATTGAATTTAAACTTAATCTTTTATTTTATAATATTCACATGCAGCATGATAAACAGAAAACTCTGGCACAGAAAGACGACATTTTAGACTCAAGCAGACCCCTTTAACGGAATAAGTGATCTAATAACTTACTATTTAAATTTTTTTCTTTGTAACATCATCAAATACTCTGTAATGTTGTCTTTCTGTACCATAGTGTTCTGGTTCTCACTGTAGCAAAATATCTCATTTTGATTAAGCAAACCTTACAATTTTAACTAAAAAAGTTTTATTTTTAATGTTCATTCAATGTGAACAAATGAAAAATGTATCATATTAAATTATTCATTGAAGTAGTAAACCTCTAGAAACTTAAAATTTGAAAACTGTTGAAACAAGCCTCGATCATTTTAAAATCTTCAGAGATATTTCCATTCTTGTTTCTGCTGCATAAACTTGTAAGTCACATTTAAAATTATTGAATTTTAGATGGAAAAGCAATTCCGTTGCACGCAATCCGCGCAATTCCGCGTAATTCTGCGCAATTCCTCGAATATTTAATAGCTTTTCCTTATTAGCATTTCGTCGACAAATTTTCGCTTTTTTCGCAAAAATGCCAAAATTTTTCAGAAAATGCAAAAAAATAATGTGAAAATTTTGCGAAAAAGGAAAGTATAATGCAAAATTTCGAAAAAAAAAACGAACATTGCTCGAAAAATAATGCAAAAGTGTTGCGAAAAAATAAGCGAAAATTGAAATAATTCATTTTCCGACAGATAACAAGGGATAAGACAGTTGGTTATTTTACCATATGATTATCTATCATTCTAATGTTATGAAGTATGAAGCCTGGATATTCTCTGCTACTCCTGAAGATACCACTGGTGATGTTGCAAATGAGAATCCTGGAGATTGTGCAGATTCTGCTGGTGAGCATAATCATCTATACTTTGCTTGTCTGTTTGTTTGTTTGTATCCAATAAACGTCAAAACGGCTAAACCGATCAGGACCAAATTTTGTGTCGGACCTAACATGGCCCCAGGGAAGGTTTATGAATGATTGAAGTTTCAAAATCATTCTCCGACAAAATTTAAATTCTATTAAATTTTGAAAATCCACGAAATATTTTTTAGAAAATCCGCAAACTTTTTGTTTGTTTTTGTTTTACAATATATTCAAAAAGAAAATGATCACAATTAAAATAGAAAACGGGCACGAAGCGCCCTGAAAGCCTAGCCATCATATATTTAACAAAAGTAAAAATATGCTAAATTTTTTAAGCTTTAGAAAAGGATGATAAAAGGATGTGAAGACGACTTGTCTCATTCACTACGGTAGTCATAGAACCTCTATTTGAATTAGAATTATTGTCATTTGTTTTGTCGCTGCAAAGCACATATCCGCAAGATGGAAAAAACAGAATTTAAAATAATGAATTTTAGAAGAATGAGAATATCAAAGTCATCCTTGCCTAGACGAGTAAAGNAATAATATGAAGACGACCATCAATTTCAATTTAATTGATTTCTACCAACCGTTCAAACAGCATGGATACACATAAACATGGAAACCAAGAGATGCTGCCAATTAACAGCTTCTCTTGGTTTACTTGTAAACTTTTAAAAAGCTTGTTAAAAATCAAAACTTTACCTCAGTTTAAAGCTTTTATACTTTTCCTCTAAATCAATATGATTTTTCTAGAAAAAGGAACTGAGTTTTTGCAACAAACTCAAATTGTTAACTTTCTATATCTTTACAACCTGATGGTTAAAACCTAATTGATATTTCAAACTTAGATTATTTGATCCAACAGAATTCAAAGTTTGAAATATCAAATGTCTACAATATTGGGTTGTAAAGATATAGGGATTAGAAAATCAGAGTTTGGGGCAAAAACTCAATTCCTTTCAAAAGATTTATTGTTATCTAAAGTTTTTGTTTACGTAACTTGCGTAAATATTGATTTTATGTCCTAACGCTTATCTCTGAAGAAACGAAGACGACTGCAGATGTATATTCAAGAGATCTTCCAATTAAACTTTATAGATTGACAATCCAATTCACAACCGGGACCCTTTCATGCTTTGTCTCATCAAGAAAGAAAAATCTATCAATGTTTTTCTTTTTCAAAATTTGAATAATTTTTTATGTGGCTTTTGACTTTCGGTTGACGGTTAAAATTCATCCCTTGTAAGCAGGAAAAACGACGATATCTGCTCTGTACATTATTGATAAGATTGAGGTTCACTGAGTACCTTTGTGAGTCTAATTAAATATTTAATTAAAGGTCAAGAATGGGCTCTGCTGAGAGAGGATAGTTGGGTTGTAGATTCTACAGCACAGGTAATTTATATTTCTAGGGATTAAAATCAGAGTTTGTTGCAAAGACTCAATTCAGTAAGGGATAAAATATCAATCCCACAAATCTGAAGGAATTGAGTCTTCGCCACAATCTCTGATTTTCTTATCCCTATATCTTTGCAACCCAATGTCGTAGACCTTATATATTTCAAACTATGATTTCTTTTAGATCAAATAAGCTAAGTTTGAAATATACAAGGCGGACGCCATTAGGTTGCAAGTATGTAGAGATTAGACAATTTAATTGTGTGACAAAAACTCAATTCCTTTGTGAGTCAGAAATTTCCCTGTTTGCGTCACCCTACAACGGGAATACTAGGTATGAAATTTGAAAGTTTAATAGCAGGGGGAAAAATTACTTTTTTACCCTGTTGTAGGGTGATAAAGTCACTGAATCACCTCACAACGGGAAAAATTAGGCGTGATAAATTTCCAGCAAACAGAGTTGAATAATTTATTCATTGAATTCAAAATCTATAGGATCTTTTTTACTAGACAAAACTAACTTAAATGAGTTAATGTTAATCTCTCATTGATCCAATTCAAAAGTTTGACCGGCTTAACTAAAACTAGATTGTTAGCAGACACATTGATCCAGAGTGGGCTAAAGGGAAATATCGCTGAAAAAGAAAAACTATAAAATAGTTTGAACTGAAACTGTTTTCTCGTGAGTTTAACTCACATGATCCGAACCGGTATTCAGTCGTACCGTCTAGTCTGGACTGCCAAGTGTAGAGTTGACCCAAAACGTTTTATGCAACAATCTCTAGGATACACATTGCCGATGCCCACTTGACAGGAAAATCAGATAGAAATAAAAGTTGTATCAATCGATTTACTATTTTCCTAAACCCCTTCAACTATCCGCGAACAGTCTCTTTAAACTCCAAAATTGCAAAACAGTGCAATTTATGATTAAGGTTTTGTGTGATGGGTCTAACGTTGTATGCTGTGATTCTGTCAGGTAATAATATACAGTTAAATATTTCTAACATATCATTCGAGAAGGCTAACCCATTGCAAATTCTAAATCTTTTTAACATAAATTTTCCAATATTTTGTACTTCAAAGAGGATGAAGAAAATCAACAAAAAATTTGCCACATGGGTAAACGACTTGACAGATTTCATTATTTAAATTTAGAAATGCAAATTTTCTGAAAATTCTTAAAACATATTCATATTTTTTTTTTTTAGTTTGGAATCTAAAGGAGCCGTAGAAGACAAGGAAAAAATCTTAAATAAAGAATAAAAAATATTTTGGAATTTTTTCTTTTTGATTGATACATTAAAAATCATATAATTAATTTTGAAAGGCCTTCAACAAGAAATGCATATTTAGGATAATGATGGGAAAATGCCGTATTCCTGTATCAAAATAGAAAAGAAACATTGCAACCGTTGACAAGTGTCAATTGAATACATTTTTTATTAAACTTTTGAACTCAGTTTCCTGAACTTTTGGGAGTATATCAACAAACACAGCTTAAGAAAGGTCAGAAATATATTTCTTATTGGTTAGATAGATTAAAAACTTGAAGCTTGATTAGAAGCCCGCCACGACATCGAAAATGAATATATTTATGTGTTTAACAATATAAGCTAAAATGTTCTTGCCGCCATGTTTTTGTATTAAAACCAAGTAGCCTATTACTAGACTTGAATCACAGAGTAGAATTTTTATATGGAGAGACTATAATCAGGGATGTACACAGAAATTTGGTAAAAGGAAGGGGGCTTTTTTGTTTCCAGGGGGAGGGGTCCTCCACACCTGTTGGTGCCTGAAAACTCCCCAGAACCATAGATCTAACTGATCCAAGCGGGGGGCTAAGTACACTTTTTTGAAAAAAATCTCTTCTTTTCATATCTCTGTTATTTTATATTCAGGCGGGCAGCCTGTGTACATGAAGGGAGATTATTATCTCTACTATCTTCAGGATATTCCTCATCATTATGAAGGTCCGTATACAGTATAGTTCAGTAAAGCAGAGTGTACAATAAAGCATAGTACAGAAATGTACAGAGAGATTTTTAAACCTATAATAGCATCTTTTCAAAGAGCTAAATTAACCGAATAACTGTTCACAAGAATATATCAACTAAACTAAAACTAAATATATGTATTGAACAATGCTACACCTAGCGGTGAAACTAAAAACTAAATATTTGTAATGAACAATGCTACATCTAGGAGGTAAACTAAAGACTAAATATTTGTAATAAACAAAACTACATCTAGCAAGTATACTAAAAACTAAATATTTGTAATGAACAACTCTACATCTAACGGTGAAACTAAAAACTAAATATTTGTAATGAACAATTCTACATCTAACGGTGAAACTAAAAACTAAATATTTGTATTAAACAATACTATATCTAGTGGTGAAACGAAAAACTAAATATTTGTAATAATCAATACTACATCTAGTGGTGAAACGAAAAACTAAATATTTGTAATAAACAATGCTAAATCTAGCAGGTAAACTAAAGACTAAATATTTGTAATAAACAATACTACATCTAGCGGGTAAACTGAAAACTAAATATTTGTAATAAACAATGCTACATCTAGCAGGTAAACTGAAAACTAAATATTTGTAATAAAAAATGCTACATCTAGTGGGTTAAAGTAAAAATTAAATATTTGTAATAAACAATACTACATCTAGCGGTGAAACTAAAAACTAAATATTTGTAATGAACAATGCTACATCTAGTGGTGAAACTAAAAACTAAATCTTTGTAATAAACAATACTTCATCTAACGGGTAAACTAAAAACTAAATATTTGTAATAAACAATGCTACATCTAGTGGGTTAAACTATTAATTAAATATTTGTTATTTACTATGAATTAATTATGAACTATGTTTTTTCTTTAGGCTGGACAATTGCCTCAAGTATGTCTGAGTTGGGTCATGTAACAAATACAAATAGTCCAGACTGCCCAGAAAATGAAGGTAAAATTTTTTAATTGCGTTTTTTACAGACATTTTAATTGACAGGTCGTCTTTAATGACAGTTGAAAAACAATTGGACTTCGTTCATAGTGGTAAAAGATGATTCACAATTTTCCTTCAAGACGGTCAAAAAACGACTGACAGGTTGTCCTTCATAATGGTTGAAATATGATTGACACGCCGATCATTCATGGTCGAAAGAGGATTGACAGAGTGTTCATGGCATTCTATAGGCGATTGACAGGACGTCGTTCATGATGGTCGAAAGATGATTGAAGGGTTGACATTCATGACAGACGAAAAATGATTGACAGGTCATCGTTAATGACAGTGGAAAGATGATTGACAGTTGTCATTTATGACAGTCAAAAGATGATTGATAGGTTGTTGTTCATGACAGTCAAGAGACGATTGTAGCGTTGTCATTAATGACAGTCTAAAGACAATTGTAGCTTTGTCATTCACGAAAAGGAATTTCATAAACTGTTAGCTTTTCAATTTTCATGGAAAGTTCAAAAGACCTTTCAATTTTTTTTAATGTAGATTTTGTCTTTAGGTAGCCATCAAAGATGTAAGTTGACCATCTCTCAACTGTCATTTTTAGTGATTTAGAACAAAATAATTATTGATTTTTTTCAAGGATGGGAGTATGATGATAACAACAATTGGTCAATTGATCCTACCTTTAAAGTTACGTGTGCTTAGATAATATTTTCATATTTATCCTTAACACTTGATACACTTGAACAAATAAACATTTGTACTTATTTCTAATCAATTGTCTTAAATAATGATTGTTTTAAATCTCGTATTAGGACTCTGTATTGTGTAGAAAGACAGAAAAGTTAAAAAGAATTACAAAACAAAGTTTTAATTGCTTGAATAGATTTTTTTGCTGAAATCTATAAATGTAGTGTTGTCAACTCGTCAATTTCGTTTATTGTTATTTTTGCATATATCTTCTCTCGATCAGGGTAAAAATTTTCCATTAAGTAACTAAACTTGTTTATTCTAAACATTCGCTTTTAATGAAAGGGGGTATAGAATGAAACCTGAGAATCTCAGGCGTTGAACGATACAAATAAGACATCTATCTGATGTTTCTGTCTCAAGAAATGATATAAAACTGTGTCAAATTTATACAAAATTCATATATATGCAATTTTGTATAAAAGTTAAATATTAAACAGATCATATTCAACAAATACGCAACCAATCTGAAAACGACGATATCCCACAGGAGCCTGAGAATCCCAGGTTTGCTCCTATTATAATTTTTTTATTTTGCATTTTAATAGACATAATTTTGAGTGAAGAAAAAAATTTTGCGACTAAAGATATACAAACCTGATAATAATATTCTAGTAAGAAGTAATTCTTGGTTAGGCTAACATCTCTACTTGCAATGATATTATGGTTAAAAGATAGGTATTGTAACCAGTGTGAGCTCAATAATGCCCGGTGCAAAGCAAGGCAGACAAAGAGTAAGACCTCTACGTTAGAGGATTGGATCAGGGATCAACTAACCTTGGGCATCACCTCTGGTCCCGGTCACAAAGAAGACCGGGACCGCAGGGTCAATAAATTAACGGTAGATGATTCTTACCCTACCCCTAACATTTCAGACATTTAAACTTTATTAGGATCGTCAAAATTTGTTTCAACTTTAGACGTGGCACAAGTGTATCATGCAATTCCAAATGAAAAGAAAGCTCGTCCTTTAACAGCATTGCAACAGCCCTTGCCTATTATTTGTTCTTTTTTTACTTGTAAACACATTTTTTACTATACTCTGTAGACTTATTCAAATCAGTTTTAGGCTTTATATTTCCTTGGTAACATGGTGACAGCTGTGGGTTCGCATCCCACAGCTGTCACCATGTTACCATTTAAAAGTGGTCGAAGAAAAAGGAAATATAAAGCCTAAAACTGATTTGAATAAGTTTACAGAGTATAGTAAAAAATATATTTACAAGTAAAAAAAGAACAAATAATGGTTGATACTAATGAATGGAAGAATCAATATACATATCTAGCTTTCAGAGGAGCAATAACTGGCTCTGGCTCAGCGCTTCTAAAAGTACTCAGAGATACAGGGTGAGAGAGAGAAATGGCAAACTAGAAAAACTTTAGCCAGGGATGTATAGGGGGTATACACCCCCTGCACATTTATGGAAAAGAAATAAACGGAACAACAAGAAACATTGAAGGCCTGAATTAATCTTTTAGCGCTGTATAAACCTGGAGAATGGAGGTTTTTATCTTGGTGAATCCAGATTTTGTTACTGGCAGCTTTAAATATACTCCTTAATAACAAGCCTGGTTAGCTGTTATTAAGTATCCGAACTCCTCGGAAAGACGTTAATTCTATTGATTGAATCTGGTTTGTGTAAGCACTAAGGGAGCTCAGAACATTCAGGTTCTAATACAACTCTCTCCAGTTTCTTGTGGCTGAACAGAACCATGTGTGAAATAACATGGCAGTACACACATTAGAGGTCATTAAAATTCAAATTGATTTTATTTTAGGAATTTCGATGGGGATTTGACATGTGTGGTGTGCTTGCTTCATTGCGGAAATGGATCCTGCGTACACACACATCTACAGAATTAACAGAGGCATTTGAGTCGGTACAATCGTCTTCCTTATATTTCGAATTTATTTTAACAACTCCTTAATAACAAGCCTGGGTAGCTATTATCCGAAGTATCCAAACTCTTCGGAAAGACTTTAATTCTTTCAATTGAATCTGGTTCTATGTGTGCAAGCATTAAGGGAGCTCAGAACAGTCAGGTTCATATACCACTCTCTCCAGTTTCTTGTGGCTGAATAGAATCCTGTGTGAAATAACTTCTTCCCCTTCCCTCTTACCAGAAACAAGGAAAAGGGAAACATAGGAAGTAGAATCCTGATAGTTTGTGCACCATGAACTATAATACCAATTTATACTCTGTCGGCAGCGTTATTTTGAAACACTGTGTCCGGGATGATTTTACAAAAATCAAGATTTTTTTGTCGAAAGTACTTTCCTAATCTTTCATACCCCATTTGTCATCAATTATAAAGTTGGAATTCTGACACAATGAATATCCTCAGAATTTTCAAACCTTGCTTGGTGCAGTGACTTTTTTCCAACCTGCAAGAATATTGAGGAAATTGAGTTTGAAGCAAACCTTCACAGTGGCTGAGTTAGATTCCATAGATCAGAAAACAATATTGAAAACTGCAAATACATCTCATATCTACTCCTCACAAACAGTAACTTTCTATTATACTTAATTTGATATTTCTGGCACTAAGATATCAAATTAAATAAAAATATGAAACAGAATTATGTGTAAAAATTCATTTTTCCCTTGTCTACAATTGTAGATCTAAAATAAAAGAACAGTAAACAGATGTATGATCAGATAAAAAAGATATTACGGTCGGAAAAAAATTCACTGCTTTTTTCAAATCTTACTAAGAAAATTTTTAAATCAAAAATAAATTGTTAAAAAATTAATTGAAGAAAGCCAAAGCTCTCTGGTAGACTCTTCGCCTCATACTATGGGTTAGACTACTATTAAATGGTTAAAGTATAACCAAATTCGGCAATTTTAAAAATATAACCAAATAACACACTTTACTCTATGTATACTGTATAACTTGACCTAGCTGCTTGAAAGTCAGTACAGTACTTCAAATGAACCAGAGCTTTCAGTGATAGGAATTAATATGGAGTTTAGAGTTAAGAACGGAAATTTGAAAAAATGTAAAAAAAATAATGCATCAGACTGTTTTGCCTCTAAATGGGTGAAAAAAGTGAAAAAGCTATACTGAAGAGAATCTGGAGAAACATCAGCCTTGAGACCCTGGAGAATCTGGTCTCATCAATTCCAAACTGAGTAAATGATGTCTATAATAGTCTGGGTCATCATGTAATAAAATAAATTTATAGTAAACAATTTTTTAACACATCTAGAACATTTTTTTAGTGATGCATAACTTTCTTTATAAGGATTTTCACACTGGTGGAAATCTACATAAAAAATGGGATAATTATATTTAATAAGAGAAACAGACATAGATAAAGATAGATTGCGCATAAGATGACATTTTTCATCTTGAAAGATATAAATGTACAGAGATGTTTTAAAGATATTCCTAGTATATAGATTAACTAGGTCGGTTGTAAACATTGGCTGTTATTATGTCATTGAGTACTTGTGGTGTACATGAGTTCTGTAGATAGAAATTTAAGTTAGAATAACTAACTTCAGTTCTTGTCAATATGATATATTGCTCATTGAAATATTGTTGTACAAATAGTTCCATTCCCGGAGTTATTTTACACACTATTCTATGAAATCCATTAAAACACCAAACCACCCTGCTTATCATTGAAGTACACTTTGACCCCTAGAAGTATGAGTTCGCGGACTGTAAAATTCTTGGTGATTTTACGTACATAAGCTATCTATGTTTATTTATTTATCTATGGAAACAGAGTCTAAAACTAAAGAATGCGTAAATATTAAGTTATAGCTTAAGTTAAATAATAACTTGCTACTTAATAATTAAACTCTCAATTTAACCTTGAAAGTAAATTTTAATTTTCCTGAACAATCTGAACCAATTAGAGAAGAGGACTTACGGAGAGATATTACGTAACCATCGCTTATCAGCTGTTTTTTTAATTTTAAATAATTTATGTAACCAAAAACAAAACATATTTCCAGTTACATGCAAAAAATAATTAATCTAATACGTGATATTTCTTCAATTAAGGTTTTCACTTTTACATATATCGTTGAATGCTGCTTTCTCAGCTGAATGATGATTGATTAATAGACAAATAGGAAAAATGCAGGATTTCAAAATTTTAACCCTGGGTTTAAATTGTAACTTGGTGATTTTGGCGAGTTAAATATTTAACCCCAGGGTTATATTTCAGGTTTAAATTAAGTCAGATCTGGCATTTAAGCTGAAACTTAAAATGTAAGTCAGAACTTTTCATTCTTTAGTTTAAGACTCAGAATGATTTAAATAAAATTTTAATAATTGATAGAGTGAGCTTTTTAATATCTATATTTAAAGTGTTAAGAATATAGATGTAAAGTAGTAAATGTGAAAGAATGTAAAAAAAGTTGATTTTTACAGAGAGATCAATAAAAGTGTGGTATATGAAGACAACTGTTGAGAACAAGTTATAATTTAGAATTATTCAATTAAGACGAATTAACACCCTAATTGGTCGTGTATACTGCAACACAGACAAATATCAAGCTATAACAGTTACAAATTTAGCTGAACAAATAAACATCAAATACACATAAAACTGCTTAAATGTAATCTGACCATTCTGCAGCTTTACAGGTATCACTGTATATCCAGTTTCAGTTTCACCAGTCCACAACTATTACTCTTTCACTCCATAATTTTTCCAATAATTCCATCCAATCAAGTCTATAACTGCTCCAATAGTTCTATGGAATTAAGCCCATAAGTGCTCCAATAGTTTATATCCTATCAAATCTGTAGTGCTCCAATATTTATAAGCAATCAAGTCCATTATTCCATCCAATCAAATCCATAAGTGCTCCAATAGTTGTATGGAATTAAATTCATTATTGATCCAATAGTTTATATCCAATAAAATCCGAAGTGCTTCAAAAGTGCTATGCATTAACATCTATAAGTACTCCAATAGTTCAATGCAATTAAGTCCTTAATGCTCTAGCAGTCTATGTAATTAAGTTCATAACTGCTCCAATAGATCTATGCAATTAAGTCAATAAGCACTCCAATAAATCTTTGAAATTAAGTCCATAATTGCTCATAGTTTATATCCAATCAAATCCATAGTGCTCTAATTGTTATATTGCAAGTCCATAAGCGCTCCAAAAGTTCTATGCAATCAAGTCCATAAATGCTCAATAGTGCTAGGCTATGCAATCAAGTCCATAACTGCTTAATAGTGCTAGGCTATGAAATCAAGTCCATAATTGCTCCAACAAGATCGAGAAAGCAATATCCAAAGAGAACTCCAACCCAACTTCCCAACTCTATGGCAAAGTCCCAAACAGTATAAATGTATTGACTCTTGAAGACCTCAACCTCATGAGGGAGCTTGATAATCAGTTTCTTAAACTTCCAATCCTATTAAATGTAAAAATTTGTATTGTACATATACAGCAAACAATGTACATTTACACACTATAATAATATTTTGCTCAAAATATAAAACCCCTTAAAGCAGTTCGAATTTGCTTTTAGTTCAAAAACTTTGTCATAGTTTTTAGCATTCAAGGTTTGGGGTTTTAAAAACTTAAAAGGCTCCATAAAATTCTAGGCAACCTTCTAATTTGTATTCTAGGCAAGCTTGCTTCTATCTACACTATGCAACAATTTTGCTCTGACAAAAAATTTCAGGCAAAACAAACCAAACAATTGACATTGCTTTGATTTATCTTAGTTTATATCAAGTAAAAATTTTCTAAAAAAGCCTCCCTCTTATTTTCATGATTATCTTCTTATAAATAAAAATGAAATGGCAAAAAACTAATTATTTTAAAATCATTAATGAACAAAAATAACCATTCATTTAAAAAGAACAGAAAATAAAAAACAATGTTAACACCAAAAAACAAATCATTTAGCTAAGAAAAAAACGGCTGCCTAAAAAACTGGTAATGGTAAGCAATTTTAACTGTTTATAAATGGTTTGTAAAAATTCTGAACATGTCCAGCACTAGCGCCCCCTGGAAAAATCTAACTAAAGTGATCTTTGTTGAGCTAGTTGAGTGGTCTATGAAGCACAGCCACTTCTGTCACAACCTTGCTGAACTAATTTCAATCTCCCGTTGCTTTTTTCTAATCCATTTTTAAAGCAACCAGTTTAAATTTACTTACTGTACTTTCTTCAGTTAAAAGGGATAGATGGAAGGAGGAGACTTTACAAGGAAATTGGCATGTTGAAGGACTTGGATGAAAGTTGATTGATTGAAGATACACTGCCGGTATTGCCTCAAGCTCTTTATCAGATTCACATTTTTTTAACTCGAAGGTCCTAACAAAATTACAATTTGATTTGAAGTTTTCAAAAATTGAATATAAAATAAATATTTACTTGTTTTGACTGCACTGAGGAGGGACATCAAGATATTTGTTTAAATAGGCTTGCTTGCACTCATCAAAGTTTTCCTTTTCTGAGCATAGACTCCTTTCCTTCAGCTGATGGATTTGTGATGCATCAAGTCTTACAGAAGTGTTTAATTGAAGCCAGGTGTTATCAATACTGGCATAGTTATCAGTATCAAAGGACCCTGTTTGATGAACATCTATGAATATATTCCTTTCTCCAATTGCCTTTCCATAGAGGTAAGTAAATTCAACCTCTTCCCCTGTCAATGGAAAGGATTTACATTTATAAGCATTTTTGTAAAACCATAGAAATATATCTGTATCCTCCTCCTCAGATAGATGAAGCCACTCTTCGATTTTCTGGCCATTCACTGTTAAACGAAGGTCTGATCCTCCTGTAAAATTGACCCGACACACTGTAGCAGAGAAGTCATCGATGGAGGAAAAGTTAGCATGCTGTACATTTGTTCTGGTGAGATTAGTTGAGAGTTTCTGGAAAGATTGTACTATTTCAATGGTCATACAAACAACCAGACTGATGACCATTCCCCAGTAAATTATTCGACCCAGTTTCTTACTCCAGAGTATAACTCTGTTCTGAATTAACACTGCAACTTTCAGGAAACTAAACAAGTCTTAATAAAATAAATTCCTCGTAAATGTTATGAATGGTGTTAAACCTGAATCCAAGCATTATACCCACCCAGCCCCACACTTCAGCAATAAACAGTGACAGGTTGTATGTAAAGCATACCTAAAAAATAAGATCATCAACTTTTAAATACAAATCTCAAAATGCTGCTGATCTTAGACTTTAAAGTATATTGAGTTTAAAAGGTTCCACAATAATGATTTGGTTGGTTGATCTAAATATTTGTTTTTTTTTTTACTATACTCCCTTTTTTCCCTTTACAGTCCCTTTAAGCAATAAATCTCTGCTCTATTTCCAACAATTTAAAAATCATTTATGCTGTACCACTGGCCACACAACTGGGGCGTTTAATTCAAATGCAAAGTTCTTTGTACAAATTCACCTCTTTCATGATGAAGGTTTTTGGTATATTGATTTGTAGGTTATAGGACAGATTTTCATGACCTGCAATTATAAAAGAATTATTGTTATCTTTACAACCCTCGACATGATTTTCTCCACAGAGTTACAAAATTAAGGAAAGATAGTCATCAATTGATTTCTTTGGTATACTTTGCTAACCTACCTACAAACATCCCCCGTCATCCATACAAAAAAGTACATGGTTACTAAAATGGCAAGATGCCTTTAAATAAAACTAATCCCAACCAAATTGAAAGCTTTAAAAATGATGCTATATCCTCTTCCTATTTTAAAATCATTCTAGAGCATGATCCTTCCTCTCAGAAAAAGGGGCCATATCTTTGGTAAAACCATGGCCCAGATCTGAGGAACATAATATTTAGAGAATTTTAAATCAAACTCTCTTTGCCAAAGAAGGGTTGCAATATGTTAACACAAGTTGAAGAACTGAAGTAACCATGAACCTATAATTTCAAGAGAGCCTCAACTTAAAGGTGAAGTACTTTTTCCCATAAAAACCCTTATTATTACTTCATTAAATTAAACAAAAGGAAGAAATCATCGTTTTTCTGTTTCGATTAAATTCTCCCAAGTTCCCTCATTGTTTCTGTTGCATAGACCCACAAGTTCTGTTTGCAGAAACCAAGGATAGCTAAAGAGTTGCAAATTAGGCATAACTCAACATCTACAACATCTTTTTAACATTATCTGTGTGATATGTGTGATTTGTGCTGTCATTGTATGTTTTTTCATTTCTAAATTAAAAATATAATACAATATATGAACCTTTTGCCATGAAGATCTCCTTGCTGACATGAATAAATTCTTGATTATTTTCGCAATCAAACCTTGAGAAAATATGAAAAAACATGGAAAATAATGTTAAAAATATCTTACTACCTCGTATCATCACAAGTAATTGCATCAAATTTTTCCTGGTTAAAGATGGCTGTAAGAACTTCAACATTGTTTTTACATCCTTGCGATAATGATTGTGAGAAACGTCTCTCTAAGTTTTGAAAAGTTTCTTCAGATATTCCAGCTGGAAAATATTGTCCTACAGGCACCATCAGAAAGTTTTCAATGCCAGCAGTTTCTTGAAATTTTAAAGTGTCCTCTAAAACACAATTATCATATGTGTGTAATGAGTCCTGTAACAGTTCTTTAACTTTCAAAAAGGATAAGATTTCCACTGTGACGCTAGTTACAATCCTTGACATTGAATAAACACCAGTATAAACCTCTTCTACTGTTAAACTGTTGGCAAATGCAAATCCTTGGCGATTATCCATTGCTAGAAGCTGTCCATTGAGATGAATATATACCATAAACTCTTTCTGAGCAACCATTTGGATATGTTTAACTTCATTCAAGCCTCGTCCCAAGTCAAGGGTATGACAGTTTTCAATGTAGGTTTTATATCTTGGTATGTTGGTAGAATAAGAAATGTGTTTTGTGTTGGAAAGATTTCTATGATTGAAAATCTCAATGGTTTCACCAGTAATGAATGTAATGTTTAGTTCCTTTAACTTATTCCTGAGATTAAGTGCCTTATTCCAAAAATTTGAAGTATTGCCAATGTAGTGATTTTCCGGTGATGAATACATATGTTCCAAGGAGCATAAAGATATGCTCAGATTAGGTGAGCCATCATGTATATTGACTTCAAGCCCAGTCTCCTTACTTATAAGCCTGATCACACTTATGACAGTTATGACACAAGTACATCCCATAAGTATAAGCAGCAGTACTGTTGTAGATTTATCTAAGAGTTCCTTGAGTTTTCTAGTAGGGATTAGTGGGCAGATACTTACCCAAGATCCATACAGGGACATACCTAGGAGTAGACCTACATATCCTCCAACACTAGCCATCATGGAAACAAAGGTAAAGCTTTCGTGCAATTCAATAAGTATAACCTCTGGCGAAATAAAAAAATAAACTCCAGATTGATTCTTGTCGGATTGAGGGAAAAGGGAGTTTAGAAGATTAATAGGGAACACATTTGCTCTTATTCTAACTTCTGTGCAAGCCTGTAAACATTGGCTAGACTCAGTTCTCAATAGACTTAAGAACTCAAGCTGAACTTTACATTTTGAACATTCTGACCAAGCAGACTTCTTTGTTGAGGGGCAACTACTATTGATTGATTGTAAAGCACTTTTTTCCATACATGCATCATATGTAGGTGCTCTGTCTTCACATTTCTTATCAGTTGTTGACTTTTTTCTTGTTAAAGTTATATCAAAATTAACATTTGTAATATGTTCATTTGCTCCAAGAAAAGTCAACTGATTTCTAGAAGACTTCTCTAGAAAATTACCCTCAATGTGAATAAACATGTAACCAAGACCTAAAATGTTTGTTTTTCACCAGTTATTCTATCTAAACGTCTAAGAAATGAGGAATGCCAACTTAAAACCATTTGGCATCCAAATTAATATACCTGTTGACTCTCTTGGGACTATTCTAAATGCTTGTAATCTTGAAATATTCTTGTTCCAGGTTTGGCAAAGAAGATTTGAACTGCGGGTGAAAGGATAAACCTTTCTCCTGAAAAAATGTTAAATGACAGATTATTATAAAACAGCATGTTGCGCAATATTGGAGTTTCATACCTAAATTCATTTTGATGAGAGGGGCTTATTCTCCAATTTGAAGTGTTTCTACCAAGTAGATGAATTTCTTTGATAGCATCCGATATTCTAAATCCAGTAACATCAATCCCTTGTTCAAGTATATCTTTGAAATCAGTCCCCGTCTCTGTCGAATTTTGTTCATTTCCTAAAGAGAGCTAGATCAAAATTGATTATTTATTAATGTCCTCTAGGCTTTGTTTCATATAGATATCAAAGAAGGAGTCCAGGATCTTTCAAATGAAGTTTTGTTTTAAATCTTTACTATTAGAGCAAATAAACAAAAATAAGAGTTAAATTAGGATTGATAACCCTCACTCTAGATTGGGACATCTGGATTTGTAAGGGCCTCCCAGAGAATGTGTGCCAGATCTGTGTTTAATACTACATTAACAAAAAACAAGAAAGGAATTGAGTCTTTACAAAGATATGATTTCTTGCATGGCAGTGTGGTTTCTGTATTTATATTAAGTTGGACCAAATAGATTCTAGTACAATAGATGGCAACATAGAATTTGTACACTCTCAGTACAGTTGTATTCTTTCGTCACAAGTGTCAATTCAGTTTTTGTGTCAAACAAAATTATCAATAATAGTGATAATTTTAGAATAAAATGCTTTTCTTACAGTAAAATAAGTGCAATTTTATGTGTTCTTTAGTTTATGTTTTTACAATTTTTTATTTAATCATGTCAACTATATGTAAAACAATTTCGTTTTCCTTGTTATATTTGACACTTGTGACGTGTATAATTGGTTCATTCCTCTGTTGCCACCTATTGTACTTGATAATCTATTTGAGTGGAACCAATTTTAGTAAAGAATGGTAACCTGAGAAAATGCAGGTTCTAGCTGAAATCTTATTGCAGAAAGAGAGTTTAAGGTTAGGAACTGCATCTAAAATATCAAGCTCAGAAGGCGGAACTGATTTAAGAGATATTACTAATCCACATTGTCTAAAATTATTATCTTCAATGGAAATTTGGAATGATTAAAAATGTTTAAAAACGAGAAAAATAACTGACATTAATTTCTGAGATCTTTCATTGACATAGAGAACATTTTCAATAACTTCCATAATCAAATTCGGAAATCATGAGTATGTAATGTATTTTACTTAATCTGTCAGACCACTATATTTAGTGCTTTCTGAAGAGATTTATAATAAAAGAGAAAAGAATATATATTAGCCTGGAATTTAGCGAATCCCTCGGTATGAATTTTGTCAGTCCCTTTCAGCCTGAAAGGGAATTCAAAGTGTACAAATCATGTAAAAGTTCACAAATTATATGCAGTAGAGTACATTAATACAGTATGTTCCCTAGACTATCCATTTCAATTTCGAATTTTTTAAAACTGTTAAATAAACTTCATAATAAATTAGGTGAATAAAAAATCATTTGATTTATAGTTATAATGGAAAATCATCGTTTGTAAAATCAAAGGCATAGAGTCTGTGAAATGATTATTGGTCAATTATGAAACCAGCCTCTTTCATAATTTGGTTTTTTTAATATTAATTTTAGATTTTCTATAAAATGATGTTTCAGGGCCCAAAAGGTTATATAGCGCAAATATGTGAAGCACACCTGCAGTATGGAAACAGTACAACAAAATGGCCGTTTTACACTTTTTTCTAGTAAATTCCACTCTAATATATATTCTATTCTCTTTGTCTACAATACAACATTTCCGAACTTAGTATTTTCTTGATTTAATCAGAGCACCTTCACTTTGAAAGAATATTCCCCTCTTCAATGGCATTCACTGTTTTAAATATAACTACTTGTTGTTGCACCAGCTTGATGAGAGCAGGCACATTATCAGCGCAATGCAGAGCTCTGAACTGATCAGAATGCAATATTGCAATTGCACATGCTCTCACCGGACTGGTGTATGGGGAGGTTTTGTGTCTTAAATGCAGAGTTTTGAACAGATGAGAATGCAATGCACATTGCACATGCTCTCTCCAGACTGGTATATGCTACAATGTATAGTTTTATTTAAAACTGTGGAACTTAAAGTGATGGTTTGAATACCTTCTATTGGGATAAAGGATTCCATTAAATCCATTGGACTTGAGAGATATTTATTGTAAAGCTGCAAGGTCTCGTAACAGATAAACAAAGCACTTAGTAATTGTATACAGTTCTTGAAAGTCCAAACATTTAAATGGTATCATGTTTTTTATTTAACTTGGTATGGTATAACTCTAGTAAAAAAGTAAATTATCATATTGTGTCACATAACAATGCAAACGAAAGGTAATGTTACATTTTCTATACGCAACTGCATCCCTCCTATACTGAACTTCAGACCTACTAACTTTCTGACCTATACTGCAATATCGGACCTACGCCAGCTGTTTATTGTTGTATTATTTGAGGGTTAGGTTAGGTTAATATGTATAGTTTTATTTAAAACTGTGGAACTTAAAGTGATGGTTTGAATACCTTCTATTGGGATAAAGGATTCCATTAAATCCATTGGACTTGAGATATATTTGTTGTAAAGCTGCAAGGTCTCGTAACAGATAAACAAAGCACTTAGTAATTGTATACAGTTCTTGAAAGTCCAAACATTTAAATGTTATCATGTTTTTTATTTAACTTATTAATTTTGAGCTTAACAGAAGAAATATTCTTTAAAAATGGTATAAGTCTAGTAAAAAAGTATATTATCATAATGTGTCAACAAACGATAACATTATTTGTCGTCTTCATTCGTCATTCTAATTAAGATATCTCGCACAAGCATGCCTAAGAATTTTCAGGACACATTTTTTAGTAAGTTAGTAAGTTAGTTAGTTACAACTTACATATTTTAGTAAGTTAGTAAGTTAGTTAGTTACAACTTACATATTTTAGTAAGTTAGTAAGTTAGTTAGTTACAACTTACATATTTTAGTAAGTTAGTAAGTTAGTTAGTTACAACTTACATAGTATACATTAAAATATTTCATATTAAAAAGAAAGAAAACTCAACGATAATTATTTAACTTTTTCTGATCGTACTAATGTGTAGTGTGTGAGTTTTTGTGTTTTTAAAAATAACTCTTTTTGTCTTATTCAGGAGCTGCTAGATAATTAAACTGTTTGGTTCCTTTATGGCAGGTTTTAAATCAACAATATGACATTTATTTTTTTTTCTCATTTTTCTAAAAAATAAATACAAAGCATCATCAGGGGTATACACAAGATTAAATCTAGAGAAGCAAAAAGCAACAAAAACTTTTTTGGTTCCTTCAAAGTTAGAGAGGTAAAATCGTAAGATTCTAAAAGAAACTGCACACCATTTGTATGTGTTTCTTAAAAGGAAAATGCAGCTTCTAGTGGGGGGAGGGGAGGGGGGGGGGGTAGGCAACTGTTGACCCCCTGGGTAATAAAATGTTATTGCAATAAAGAATTTAATAAAAAAATGGGACGAAAAAAAGGTATTTATTGAAGGCCTAGTTGCATAATACTGTCATATTACGGTCTACAGAGGCCAGAAACTGCATTACGCCGTCAAATTCAATTTTTAAGGGATTGTCACCGTAATTTCTATTGTTACATTTGAACTAAAAGTGTGAGATTTGTGATATCTATACTAGCTTGGGAACCTGGCGCTGCCCAGGTTACGCCTAATTACTCCCTCCATTTACCCGCACATTGATGATTTTACTGGGAAACTGAATTTTCGCGATGAAAGTTGACCCATTCAATCTTAAAACTAAACTGAAGACATTCCTGTGGGTCTCCCGGATTCCCCAACCAAAATTTGAGGCAAATCGGTCAAGGGGTTCCTGAGTTTTAATAACTTATAGATATATACAATACATGGTATAATTATCTAAAATTAGGTTTAATTTCCCAAACAGAAACTTTCCAATCTTTGGGAAGTCGCCTCTTGGGAAATAGTCACTGGGAAAATATCTAAAATCATAACTTTAGTCTGACAAAGCTTTTTATTAAGTTTTAAGAATTATGCGGTAATCAGGGTTACCTACTATAGGATGTTACTTCAGAGACGACATTACGTGGAATTGTTTAGGCCTTTTTCCTTACATTCATGATTCTCTGCAACTTAAATATTTCTTTGACAAATCATTAAATAAGCCATTTCATTTTAATCACTAAATCCAGGGGACATTAGTTCCAAAACTAACACTTGGAAAGGCTAAATTGTTTTGCGAAATTTCGCTGCAATCTGTTTCGCGAAAAAAAGAGAAATTTTTGCGAAAAAGCACAAAATTTTCGCGAAAAAAACTTAATATTGGGGAAAAAATACGGAAGAGAAATTATTAATTATGATGTAATAAAATTTCTAATGCTAAGCTCTCAGATTAGAGAATTCTTTTGCGCAATAAATTGTTGCAGCTATGGTTTTAGTGAAATTATTTTTCGCCAAATTATTTTTCGCGAAATTTCGCCAAACAATTTTCGCGAAAAGTATTTCTACGTTCTTCTTATGGTGTAGGTTTGTTTCAACTCGGCTTGAATTTGAAGATATATACGCTTGAAAAAGAAAAGTTTGCAGATTTGGCCAATTTCTAACACTCCCGTGAAATCTAAGGCAAAAGACTTAATTTAACATTGTGATTGTGTTAATTTTAGAGTATAAGCTCCTCATTCTTTGTTTGTAGCCTTCTACGTTGCAGGTTCCTAGAATTTTTGTTTTAAAAAAGAGTATTGATCAAAATTGTCGATAAATTTGCACTCTTCGGTAAACAAAATNTATTCATTTATTCATTTATTCATTTATTCATTTATTCATTTATTCATTTATTCATTTATTCATTTATTCATTTATTCATTTATTCATTTAAAATGTAGTCATTGTATCAATTTATTCACTTATTTATACATTTACTTATTCATTTATTTAATTTTTCATTTGTTTATTTATTCACTAAATCGTTTGTTTGTTTATTCATTAATTCATTTATTCATTTATTCATTTATTCATTTATTCATTTATTCATTTATTCATTTATTCATTGATCCATTTATTCATTTATTCATTTATTCATTTATCTTTTTATAACTTAACCATAAATTCGTTTATTTATTCATCAATTTATTCATTTATTCATTTATTCTTGTATAACTTAATCATTTATTCTTTTATTTATTTATTAATTTATTAATTTATTCGTTTATTCATTTATCCATTATTTGTTTATTCATTTATTCATTTATTCATTCATTCATTGAAAATTTATTTATTTATTCATTTGTTCATTTATTCATTTATTCACCTATACGTAGCAAACAGGCTTTTTTGGGCCTTATCGGACGGTGGGACGTAAAATATTCTCACACATGTTTGAAACATTTTCACACAGAATCTAAGGGGTATCCCACATATTTGTTTATGTAGACTCCTTTTTTAAAAACTATGATAGAAATGAAAGTTTACGAACATTGCAATTTGTAGGACAAAAACAAGGAAAATCGTTTTAATTAAATTTAATATAATTTGTTGGGAAAAACTTCTATTTGAAAGCTAATATAATTTTTACTTAAATTAATAGAGTATCATCATTAGTTTATCCATATATTTATGACGTATATTATAGTTTATCAATGTATTTTGCTGATCATCGACTAGGGTCCTGGAAAGGTACTAAACCCAAGCATGCCTCATCTTTCAGATGCATGGAAGCTCAAGATGGGCAAAGCTGTGGTAGAATATTTCAAGGTGATCTACAGGATGAAAGGGGACAGTTTCAGGAGTAAGAATGAAGCTCTAGCTCATAGATCAATCAAACCTAGCAAAGTTAAGATGTAATATCTCCAGATTGCTATCTCACATCTCCCCAGCCACCAAGGTTCAGGTTCATTAGATAAAATATGCATACATTCTTAAACCAGTTTCCTATTAAAGTGTCATAAAGACGAGAAGTCTTTCGTTTCATTTTATTCCATTTTTCTATTTTATCTTAGACGAGAAGTCTTTTTCTATTTTATTTTAGACGAGAAGTCTTTTTCTATTTTATTTTAGAATAGAAGTCTTTTTCTATTATATTTTAGACTAGAAGTCTTTTTCTATTTTAGGTTAGACGAGAAGTCTTTTTCTATTTTATTTTAGACAAGAAGTCTTTTTCTATTTCATTTTAGACTAGATGTCTTTTTCTATTTTATTTTAGACGAGAGGTCTTTTTCTATTTTATTTTAGACGAGAAGTCTTTTCTATTTTATTTTAGACGAGAAATCTTTTCTAGTTTATATTAGACGAGAAGTCTTTTTCTATTTTATTTTAGACGAGAGGTCTTTTTCTATTTTATTTTAGGCGAGAAGTCTTTTTCTATTTTATTTTAGACTAGAAGTCTTTTTCTATCTTATTTTAGACGAGAGGTCTTTTTCTATTTTATTTTAGGCGAGAAGTCTTTTCTAGTTTATATTAGACAAGAAGTCTTTTTCTATTCTATTTTAGACGAGAAGTCTTTTTCAAATTTTCTATTCCGCGTGCCATTAACCCGCCCTTGTTGGATTTTTACCGGGAAACTTAATTTTCACTTTAATAGTTGATCCACTTAAAACCAGGCCTAGAACATTCCCGTGGCTCTCCCGAGTTCCCCAATCAAAATTTGAGGCAAATCTGTCCAGGTGGTTCCTGGGATATGATCGGACAAACAAACAGACAGACAGACAAACAGACATAACAGAGATTACAACTTTACATATCTCTCACTTTCCCGGTAAAATCAAACANTACAGAGGTCTATATAAGGCTTTAATCCCTTGTAAATATATACATATTTACAATTTACAATTTACACTTACAATTTACAATTAACAATTAACAATTTACAATTTACAATTTACAAATTAGTATATTCAATATAAAAATAATGTCATTAGGCATTTACAATTTACAATTTACAATTTACAAATCCTTCGTTTACTTGTATATTTTTTATCGAAAAACGTCTATATTTCCAATGAATTTACAAATAGGTTGTAAATTTACAAATGACAAAGGAACATCACACTGGTCTCATACTGAGCCTCTAATATCAACTCGGATCAAAAAAAAATCAATTCAATTCCAAACAAATCATTCAGATATCACAACCGATAATCATCGATAATTTTTCGATGCATTCGTATATATAGTTGATATTTCACAGGGGCGGATACAGGATTTAAGTGAGGGGGCGGGGCAAGATTTTTTAGGAATTGCACCCTATATTTTATATTTTCTGTAGACATGAGGCAGCCCCTAGATCACGGAAACCTTCAACTTCTAGGGAAACAGATTCAGGTGGGAAATTCGATTCACAATGATACTCTTAAGCCTTATATCTAAATATATTGTTGACGAATAAATATTTTTAAATCCGATCAATTTAATTTTGTTCTCCATCCGTTAAGCAAAATTTTGCCCTTGATAAGACGAAACTTTGTGCTTAACCACCACAGATTTTAATCTCAATCCACTGCACTGTACATACTTTCTTAGTCCACTGCACATTTTATTCTAAATCCGCTACTAACTTTTTACTTAACTTCTTCTTAATCCGCTACTAACTTTCTACTTAACTTCTTCTTAATCCGCTACTAATTTTCTACTTAACTTCTTCTTAATCCGCTACTAACTTTTTACTTAACTTCTTCTTAATCCGCTGCTAACTTTCTACTTAATTTCTTCTTAATCCGCTACTAACTTTTTATTTAACTTCTTCTTAATCCGCTACTAACTTTCTACTTATCTTCTTCTTAATCCACCACTAACTTTCCACTTAACTTCTTCTTAATCCGCTACTAATTTTCTACTTAACTTCTTCTTAATCCGCTACTAACTTTCTACTTAACTTTTTCTTAATCCACTACTAACTTTCTACTTAACTTCTTCTTAATCCGCTACAAAAATAAAGGATTAGGACAGGAATTTAGGAACAATTAAAAGATTGTTCAGTAATTAGGAACAAAATTAAAGGATTCGGACAGGGATTTAGGAACAAAAAAAGGTTTTTCAGGAATTAGGAACAAAAATAAAGGATTAGAACAGGGATTTGGGATCAATAAACAGACTGTTCAGGAATTAGAAACAAAAATATAGGATAAGGACAGGGATTTAAGGTGGGTCGGACACAGGAACAGGAACAATAATAGGAACATTAGCAATTTAAGCAAAAAGAAATTACTGGTAATACTTCAATGCATGAAAATTAGGAACAATATTACAATTTTGATAAATGAGTATTTATTCGGGAACATCACTAGATATAAACAATATTATAACTTAACTTACAAATTTCAAATTCTAAATTTATCGATAACAATAACATTTATCAAATTGGGAACATTTTTTGCCTCGAAATATCAGGGGGGGGGGGGTTACGCCCCTCCCTGAATCTGTCAGGGGGGGCGAATGTCCCCCCGCCACCCCCCTGTATCCGCCCCTGATATTTAATAATGTTTTTTATTTGTTTGGAATTAAATTGATTATTTTACGATCCGAGTTGCAACTTTCTTAATAATTGTATGGACGCTTTGTTCTTCAGCATGAGTCGCTTTTAACAATTTTCTCCTTATAGACGCAGCAACAGATAGAAGTAAGATTATTAGCGATCAAAAAGCGATTATTTTTCGCCGTAAGCCTATACCCTGTAATTTTTCCGCTACACTCCCTTTAAAGACGACCCAAATATACATATATTTATATTTTATTTAATTTGGAAAAGAGGGGGAAGCTAAGTTTAGGGATAATTTTATAGCATTAGAGTTGTGGGGTTACCCAAAAAGGATTAAACTTTAAAATCACGACCTTTAATTAGATCTCGACTAACAGGGTGTCCCATGAAACATGCAGTTTTTGGTTACGGTAAATAGTTTAAACCATTGAAATATAGAGTAAATCGTAATCGTACTTTTTTAAAAACAAATATTCGCAAATGTTTCAAATACAGTGAATTCCTGATAAATGAATACATAGACCGTCATAAGTTTTTTCATAATTCTAAAGAAACTTCTTTTTATTTTAATTCAAGGTATGCAATGCAATTGATATATTATTATTAAACTCATTTTTCCGCTGCATTTGATCTTAAATATGTTATACTGCTATGTATTCATATATCTGGGATTCACTATATTTGTATTTTTTCTTTTGTTAATAAAAGTTTAATTAGAATTTATAACAATGACGACTTTCTTTATATCTAACTCTATAAACATAAATAGTTGCGGCATTCGTACATTCACTTTCTTTTCAGACACTTCACTTTTCACGTTACCTTTTCCTACGTTAAATTGTGTTTACTGATAGAATAATATTTTTCAAATGAAAAATACTTTTGATTTTTTAAAATTGCTTTTTTTTTTTGAGGGTACGTTGTTTATTTGACTTGTTTTCAGAGGATCTTGAATTAAGAGTCATTGACACGCAGAAGTCAGTCTTTCCTAGACTCTAAAGGGACCGAGTTCCTTAAGAATGACCGACAAGCTAGCCTCATATCTAGGACCAGAGCCAAGAAAGTTAACTGTCGGGAAAAGTTTTGAGAAAAAGAGTGGAAGTCGATATCATGGTTTAAGGTACAATTAATGCTGATATTTAATGCGTTTTTCAATAAAGTATATATTTTGTACATGTTAATATAAAATTGGAAATATATCCATAATTATAAGAGTTGGGCGCTGCGGGGACACATTAATCTAAGGCGTTCTTGTTTAAAATAGGTATTAAAATATACTTTCGGAATCCGGGCCTTAAATGATGTTTTGATTAATTTCCTAGGGANTGAACCGGTTCTCCTATAGCCTGTCCTAACAAATATTGTAAATGTTTGTGGAAATTGTCTTGTATAAAATTGATAGTAGGTGGCGCCCGGGGGGCTGGGTCCAAAAATCGTATGCTATAAGGACGGACCCGATTTCTTGATCTAGAGAACTTAGTTATACAGCTCTAAAGATATTCTAATTAAATAATACTAACTTATGTTTAGATACGATTTTAAACCTGTTTCCATAGACGAGGACAAAGATGGAGTTCTTGAGGTACAAAAGTTTTTTACAATTTTGTAATTTTTAAATTCATATTTTTACAAATTACAATATTAAACTATACATGTTTTTAATGCAATAATTTAAGGCTATTATGCATTTCTTAACATAGCTGATAAAGCAATTTGTAATTCTCAAAGGTACAAAAGTTAAAATCTTCAGAAATGATGAAATAGAGATAATATAATTGAGAAAACATTATACATAAAGGATAGAGCTACACGCCTGGTGAATTGGAGGATTTACAGAGCGTCTGGAAACATTGACCTAGAAGACAAGAAAGAAATAATGTTTCCGGAGCTGAAAACTTTAGAATGGGATAACGAGATCAATGCTTGATCTCCTCTTTTTTCTTAATCTCCAGATTAAATAATGCTCGTTCTCCTCTTGCTATTAATCTCCAGATTTATTAACCGATCGTGATTAAGGATATCTTATTCAAAAGTGTTCAGCTCTGAGTCTAAAACTAAAGAATGCGCGAAATTTAAGTTACAGCTTAAAAGTTCTGAAAAATAATGAGTTGAGTTTAAATATTAACTTTTAAACCTATAAGGGAAATTTAAATTTCCTGTAAAAAATTTCAACCAATCAGAATCACGAGAATTACGATAACGGGAATAGGTTTAAAAACTCAAATAGTCAAATGAAATCATTTTCATGCATTGAATTATCTCATAATTGAATGCGGGATTTCCGGGTTAAAATTTTAACTCGCCAAAATCGACGAGTTAAATATTTAAGCCCAGGGTTAAATTAAGGTTTAAATTAAGTCAGAAGTGGCATTTAAGCTGAAACTTAACATTTATGTCGGAACTTTTCGTTCTTTAGTTTTGGACTCAGGAAAATTGAATGTTGAAAATTATAATTTAAAATATATAATTTTGTTAGGTTAAAGAAAACAGTTCTGTTGCTGTTTCTCTTCCTCATATAGATGGATCCGGTCAGACTAATTATAAGGTAGGAGACTAATAGTGGCATGATAATCAGGAATGTATATTAATTATCGATCATGAAACTGGAGAATTAACTCTTGAAAGGTTGTCCCATCAGGTCAATATTCATTTTACGTTTTAAATATTAGCACTAGATTTTTTATCTGCTATCTTAAATATTAAGTTAAGATGTGCAATGACTTGTTTTGCCATTATACTTTAGGAAATTCATAATTTGGCAAAGGGTTATAAGGGCAAATGTTTTCAAAATTGTTTATTCTAGATATTTGTTTTTCATAAACCGCCAAAATATTGACCCGCAGAGAAAATATGTTTAATAAACGAACAAGTTAAACTGAAGTCTTTTGGTCTATTTTGGAACACTGTTTGTACCCGTCAATATTTGTTAAAATCTTCAGATAATGGTAAAAAAGACGCGAGCAGAGCGAGCAGAAAAATCAGATAAATCGGATTCCGAAAGATTTCCACAGCCGGTAAGCCTAATTAATTTGAGTTCAATAAACATGAATAAATTAATAACTCTTCTAAATCTAGATTGCTACCTCATTGGTTTTTAAATGAATTTAATTTTAAATGTGTAAAAAGGTGTAAATGCTAATTCAAAAGTTTATGTCTCAGATTTCTAGATAAATGGTCCAAAAATTATTGTAGATGATGATAGGTTCCAACAAAGGAATTTACCTACTAGGAATTTTAAAATGTTTACTGAATTAGATAAGAAGGTGTGTTGATAAAAAAAGAATATTAAAACGAACTTTTAGGTTATTCATGAGTGCCAAGAATGTAAGGCAAGGAAAGTTAATTGCAGTTGCGTATACTCTGCGTACATATTAAAACCAGTTCTCTCTGGGCGGAATTTGTAAACAAGAATAGATGCATCAGTTCTTTTGGGGAACTTTTAGTTGCATAAGGTTGATTTTTATTCCACTTCCGCCAAGTGGGGGCGGGGGGGATTATTTCTTCATGGGAATTTTTTTTGTTCCAGCATGAGGGATTTTTTACTAAATTAGAGGGAATTAATTTACTCAAAGGTTTTAAAATTATTAAAACTTTGTACTCTTGCAATTTGGATGACACTTAATTTGTTGATAAAATGTTTTGCATGCATAGATTTTAAATAAAAAAATATTACCGCACCCTTTATTTTATAGATTATAAAGGATGAAAAATTGGTGCACCCCATATTTTATAAATAATAAATGATGAAAAGTTGGTGCTCCCTATATTTTATAGATTATAAATGACAAAAAAATGTGCACCCTATATTTTATAAATAATAAATGATGAAAAGTTGGTGCACCCTATATTTTATCGATTATAAATGATGAAAAGTTGGTGCACCCTATATTTTATAGATTATAAATGATGAAAAGTTGGTGCACCCTATATTTTATAGATTATAAATGATGAAAAGTTGGTGCACACTATATTTTATAGACTATAAATGATGAAAAGTTGATGCACTCTATTTTTTATAGCTTGTAAATAATGAATTGTATAATTATAAAAATAGAATAAGTGATGAAATGTTACTGCATCCTATATTTAAAAAATTCCTAACTGAAAGGCCCGGCGTTGCCCGTGGAAAAAAAATGTGCACCCTAAATTTTATATTTTCTGTAGACATGAGGCAGCCCCTAGATCACGGAAACCTTCAACATCTAGGGAAACAGATTCAGGTGGGAAATTTGATTCACAATGATACCCTTAATCCTTATATCTAAATATTTACGAGGAAATATATTGTTGATGAAAAAATATTTTAAAATCTGATCAATTTAATATTGTTCTTCATCCGTTAAGCAAAAGTTTGCCCTTGATAAGACGAAATTTTGTGCTTAAACACTACAGATTTTGATCTCAATCCACTGCACTGTACATACTTTCTTAGTCCACTGCACATTTTCTGCCAAATCTGCTATTAACTTTCTACTTAACTTCTTCTTAATCCGCTACTAACTTTCTACTTAACTTCTTCTAAATCCGCTACTAACTTTCTACTTAACTTCTTCTTAATCCACTACTAACTTTCTACTTAACTTCTTCTTAATCCACTACTAACTTTCTACTTAACTTCTTCTTAATCCGCTACTAACTTTCTACTTAACTTCTTCTTAATCCGCTACAAATTTTCTACTTAACTTCTTCTTAATCCGCTAAAAATTTTCTACTTAACTTCTTCTTAATCCGGTAATGATGTCCTTAATCCGCTTAATTCAGAGTTCTGTATTACTCCGATGAATTCCGCTAAGTCAAGTCCAGCACGGCCCGGTTCGGCCAAACCTAGTCCGCTACGGCAGGGGTCCACTAAATCGAGCCCAAGTCTCTCACAGGTACAACTTCTAGAAGAAATATTAAAAATTATTTTATAACTTAAAGAAATTTGCATATAAAAAGATGTATGTTGCTAATATCTTTAATTAAGTTATTTATCAGAAAGTTAATGGAGCATTGGACTCCATTTTTTTTCTGTCCAAATTTCAATTATTAGTTTAGGTAATTTTAACAGATTTTTTCCAAGATTTACTGATAGAATTTGTAACTGTTTCTAATTGTAAACTAAAGCATGGAAAATACAAATAAAAAATGAGAAATCAACTTTTTTCAATCATCCCAGGCCTTTTATATAAGTATTGACCTCTGGCCTCTAGATTGATACATTGGGTCGACCTCTGGACTCTCTGGGCCGACCTCTCGACTCATCCAGTTCCAGTTCTAGCGATTCAAGCGATTCTGATTCAGACTTTGGAGAGGCAAAACGTAAGATCATTTTTGCCATTTTTTTTAGCGATCATAAAATAAAAGCGGGTTAAAATTTGAGTATCAAGAACATATCTACTCCTGATGGTAATCTTGCATCGGTCAATATGACATCTATATATATATTATATAGTTTTGTGGACTGATATTACAGATTAATTGATAGATTATTTGAGTCACTGATTAATTCTTTTAATTTAAGATCATTTAAATATCTGATTGGTTGGTTGGTTGGTTGGTTGGTTGGTTGGTTGGTTGGTTGATTGATTGATTGATTGATTGATTGATATCTAGGATCTGGGGTTGAGAATACCGGACTAAGTTTGATGAGTCAGGATTTCTCCTCTGAACCTGTTCTACCCAAGGTAAATCAAAAATTATGAAGAAAAAATCTTAATTTTTTTGAGATTTATTTTTACATATTTTGTCTTATTTCCTAATTGTTTACTCAACAAATAGAATTAGAATGTTTGAGAACAGTGACTTAATAATTGCCTATTAGATCTACTGAAATACGTAGCTTAATCACTTAAAGCGGCCTTAATTCATTCTTGATTTAGTTGATTCCAGTGCTTAGGATCCCCGCAACATTTTTGCTTTCTGGCCAAAAATAGGCGGATCAACGGATCCGGATCGAATGGGGCAAAATATCAACCAAAAATTGTAAGAACAAACTTGTTGCCTTCAAAACCGATCCAGGATCCGATAAAAATAGAATAAATCCTAAGCACTTGGTTAATTCACTTCAAGACTGCGGGAGCGGGGAGTAGGACGTTCCCAAAAACCTGATATGATTTGATTGACTAGTTTTGCTTTCTAAAAAAAAACTCTTTTCTCAGAGAGGAGGTGTTCTGCCCTCGGCTAGGCCTGAACCTAAACATAGAAAATCCGCAGGTACAAATTTTAACAGGGTTGTACATTTCCATAAAAATCAATTGATAAGTTTTTTTTTTATCAATTTTCATGTTTTTTGCTAAATTTGGGTAAATGTTTTGGATAAAAGTATGACAAAGATCAAATTGCCTTTGATGTCCAATTTGTATTTTTTCCCCCAGAACATCAACAATTATTTTCTCTCGCCTACCCTTGTTTTTGTGAGATATTTAGGGCCCAATACTTGTCCCGTAGAATTCCATAAGATGGGGTCCATCACCATTTTGTTGAGCATCATTAAGATTTATTAAAAAGATTTTTTTTTAGCACAAGACTCTTCATCAAAATCATCGCATCCATTCCAACCTAAGGAAATTGTTTATTCATTCAGTAAATCATGAATTTATTTATATTAAAGAAGATTAAAATTAAACTAATTTTCTGTAGTTTTTACTAAATTTAAAGAATAGCTTTAAATTGTCATTTTTTTTTAATTTGAAAGATTTTAAACATTAACGGATATTTCTTATAAAGCTGAAACTAGAAACTTAATTATTTTTATTTTCTGATGTTTGAATGAATGAATTATTGTTAGACGGATATCCTGGGCGACGATCTTAGGAAATCAAACTTTATCTTTAAAATACGATTAAACTTTTTAATCATTTTTGACAAGTAATAGTCTTAGTACTGCTTTTACATTAACAAGCCTTTCTTTTTCGTACATTTAAAAACAAATAAAAATTTCGCGGATTTTCAGTGAAACTTTCGAATTTTGAGTTCATATTTTTTAACATATTTTTTACTTTTCTCTGTTTAAAAAAATTTTTTTGTCCATTTTTTTTGCCTCCGCGTTCTTTTCTGTTTTTTTTTGAATATTTAACTGTTTGCCATATGAACTAAGAAATCTTAAAAAAGTTTGACAATGTTTGAGTATAGATTATCGGACTCTGATAACTCGGACTAGAGGCTAATTATCGATCAATCAAGTTATTTTATTTTGTTAATGTTCTATTTGTTATTTGTTATTCATGAATTGTCAAGTAACCCTGAGTGTTATTTCAGTGGTATATATTTCAGGGGTATATATTTCAGTGGTATATATTTCAGGGGTATATATTTCAGTGGTATATATTTCAGTGGTATATATTTCTGTGGTATATATTTCAGGGGTATATATTTCAGTGGTATATATTTCAGGGGTATATATTTCAGTGGTATATATTTTCGATTTTGTAAATCTCAAAGCCATCATTAAATGCCAAACGTGACTTTGTGAAGAAATGTTTTTATTGTAAAAAAATGAAAATTCAGACTTGTAGAACAATCATGTTTCCTACGGTAAGAACATTTCGATTAATAAGAAGATAACTTTTTTTACCCCTTTCTTGTTCACATTTTTTTATATTTATATTTTAATATTATATTGCTCTCTTTTCGTTTTTTTGTGAGTTTGTTATTTATTAGATGCGCGAGATTACCAAAATAATCGCGCAGCTTTTTCATACGTTTTGTTGATATTGTTCGCGAAAGGTCTGTATTGACCCACATTTAAATAGTTCTTATTTAATTTGCATGCCGGGTTCACAACGGTACCCTCTACATATCTATAAAACTATAAACGGCCGTTTTTTATGTTAAAAAGTGAAGGCTTTGAATTGATCTGATGATCCCATTGAAATCGTCGACTGCCCCAGGAAGGGTCAAACTTGTTAAGTTTTATTTGTATTAATGTTCTAAAATATGAAAAACAAAACTTTTTAATGAAAAACAAAAACTTTCTTATTTCAGTTTTTTCCTTTTTCCCTTGTTTTTTGTTCATTTAAAATTCACCTTTGTTACTTTTTTTTGTTGTTTTTCGATGTACAATATATTTAATTTAATGTTATATCTGGTTTTTGATTTTTTAAAATGTTTTTTAGAAGTAATGCATTGTTAATCCTACATTGTTGTATGGTATACTTTCTACATTGTACAGAAGTAATGGTATGATTTCGAGGAGTTTTATTTCAGATTTGTTTGATCCTTAAATTTTCTTTATTTATTCCCGAATTAAGTAAAAAAAATCTCTCAAGGAGCGTTAAACGGATAATCATTTTTTCTTTTTTTTTATAAAAATTTCAAGTTTTATTTTGTAAATGTTCTCCATTTTGTTTCACGTTGTTATTTTTGTCTGGTGAAATTGAGAAAATTATAAATATTTTTTTTAGAAAAAACTAATTGAATTTGTTACATATCAATTAAATACTTTTTAAAATCTTTTTCAATGAAACTTAATTTGTATATTTTAAAGCTTCAGTATTTTTAAATTGTTATGTATATGTATTGAAAAATTAATAGATTCTCTTATTAGCATATATTTTTGCTACCACCACTTTCTGAACATTTTTTCACATTATCTTTCGTTTCTCAAGCCTGACAAGTAAATGCTGAAATAGGGATACTTCAGGAAATTCTGTAAATCCAAGTTTCAGATTAAACATGGCGCTGGTTGCGTACGGTTCCTCTGGTGAAAGTTCGGATTCGGAAGACGACTCCGGTCCATCAATCTCAATAAATGGCGGCAAAAAGTCGCCCGGAAAATCCGCGAGTTTATCGAAACTGGTTCCCCGGCCTGATGTGGCGGAGAATTTTCTGGCTAAACCAGTGGAAGTTCAAGATTTTAATATTAGTGATGATGAGGATGAGGAAGGAATGCATTCACACAACACTAACGGTCACTTTATAGGTACAACTTTTTTGAATAATAGAGAAACTTTATTATTTTCAGTTTAACCTGATAAAAGTTATATTGCCAATTTTTTGTAGTTTTCAGAATTATAGTGTTTACAACAAATATTTTCACTAAAAAGGAACTGCTTACGTGTTCCAAACTCTAAATTTCTGCACTGGAAAAAAATTAATCCGGATCCGCATCCAGGTCATTTCTTCAAGTTTACTGAATTTTTTTTAATAAGCAGAATTTTCAATTTTTTTGTCTATTTTATTTCGCTTATTTTTATGCTAAAACTTGATGAACCATTCAGAAATCAGGAAACTTTTTTAACCTCTTTTTTCAATAACTCAGATTTGGGTTTAAAGAGTAAGAAACTTTTTTTTGTCAGTTTTTGGTTGATATTTTGCGCCTTGGATCCGAATTCGTGGATCTTTATATTTTTGCGGATCCGGATCCAGGAAGTCCTAATCTTACGGATCCAAACCACTGCTTTATACCATGATATTACGAAGAAACGTTTTTCTTTTAAAATTTATAAAAAATACTAATATTTTTTTTCACTCCAGACGACTTCCAAGAACCTGACCTCTTGTCTCTGATTTCCAAAAAGTTGCCCTACGCTCAAATTAACACTTCAGCTAGGTTAGACAATAGACATTCATCTTTCATAATCTTGATAAAACGTCGGAAAATTTTTAATTTTCAACAGACAAAAGTTTTTTTTTCTACTAATAGATACATTTTGTAAACTTGTATGAATTATTTTTAAGTATCTTTTTATGTACGCTTACCTGGGCAGCAGCGGGGAGTCGTAGAGAAAGGAAACAGGACCCAAACGACCACACTGCACAGGAGTGCACAGTGGGCCACCCCTAGTTGCCATACCCACCCTAAAATATGGGGTATGAGCAAAGTGGATAAGGGCCAGGGGAAACGGTACACCAGCCTGGACTGACCGAAAAGTCAGAACCCAGAGCCCAACCCGTACCAGAAGACCCCAAAACCCCTAAACCCCGAACGCCAAACCCGGCACAGCCGAGTCCAGCCGCGCAGCACCTAACCATCCTAACTCACCTAGACTGAGTAGCCCAGAACACAAGTGCGCAGGCTAATCTCTCCGAGGATCCTCTGCCCCAATCCCTCATCCGGGCAAGGGGACTCAAGCCAGGCCACCAGGCTGACAGGCACCCAAGCTGGCCCAACAGGGCAATCAAACCCGGCCCCATCAGACAAGGACCAGAACCTTGTGAAGTCAGCTTTTGACAAAGCATCAGCCATGTCCGCCCCAGCAGTAGAGCACCGAGTGATCTTCACAATCTCTACCCAACAGCCTATACCAGAGGCGACTGTGGCGACAGCCTTCACTAGAGTTGTAGAGAGCGCACAAGTCGTGCTGTAACCCTTCCTCCAGATACCGACGGAACCCGCGTTGTCCACCCAGATCTTCACAGGCTTGCCACTGCAGAGAGCAAACCCAGCAGACAAAACCAGTAGTGGTCCGACAAGCTCAAGGGCTGACATTTTGCGATTCAGCCGTCTGCCATCCTCACACAAAGGTCCACGACAGATGGTACTGGACCAGGGAACATAAGCCCACCAGCCGAGGGCCACTGCCCCGACGCCCCGCCCAGAGCGGAGTCCGTCAGGTCCGAATCCGCCTCCAGAGGCATCAGTGTAGAAATTGATGGCCCAGCTAGGCGACCTCGCATCGGGATCTGGGATAGAGACATTCCCATCACAGGCCCGCAGCATCACCAACCAAAACTGTAGTTGGGCCCGGAGCGCAGGAGACACCAGGGACATATGGCTTTTATCCTGAGACAGACCCGCAGCCTTCAGGATGTGGTCCACATGAAATCTACCCATAGGGATGAGTGGCCTGATATTAATGATCCTCCCGGCAACACTCATCAAATACTCCTGGCTCACCCATTCTGAGTGAACCCCCTCCTCTAGCTGATGAAGGATCCTGCCGAGTTTTTCCTGTGGGATGGCCCAAGACCAGTCCATAGTGTCATATCTGATCCCAAAGACAATGCCAGAGGTAGAAGGGCCAAAGGATTTCTCAGGATCATCCCGGGGAGCAAGCTTTACACCTAGCAGTGTCGCAATTTCAAGAAAAACTTCGTCAAATTTCTGAATCTGGTCTGAACCGCAAGGAGCCGCCGCAGCACAGTCATCCAAGTGCTGGCACACCATATGTGGTGGCATATCAGCCTCCCTGCAAACAATGAAAAGGACTAGCTTGGCCAACCTATCGTAGAGGCCCACGCTGCTCTTGGACCCAAAGATGAGGCACAGCTCACAAAAATACTTTCCTAGCCATGAGAACCACTGTAGGTCCAAGTCTTGATCCCGGACCGCCACATGCTTATACGCATCAGACCAGTCCACCTTCACCATCCGGCAGCCTCTGCCAGCCCTGTTCAGAACTCTCAACCACTTAGTAGTGGAGGACATGGATGCCGGGAACTCTTTCTCATCAATTCCCTCATTAACAGAAAACCCTATGGGGGAGCTGAGATTCAGGATTATCCTGACAGACCCGTTCGGTTTCTGTCGGCACATAATCCCATTGACTTTTGCACCCACAGGAAGCTCCTCCTCACAGACCGGACCGAATGCAAACCCCTTCTCAATCCAGTCAGCTATAGCGTCAGACACATGTGGGCCGAATTCAAAGCTACTGGGCGCGTTTGTACTCCTAGATGGATTCCTGTACGGTCCCCTGCACCCGATGTTTGCTCCTGACAAAAGGTCCCTACAGATCTCATCCAGTAAGCCTACATCCCGGAATCCATTCCTAAGAGCCAGTCTTTTCAACACTCCTGGGTCTACCATGGACTTCCCTGGCCGCACCAAATTCTTTGGGAACAAGTCCCAATACTGTTGTGACGCAACTCCATGGTATGATATCAACTCCGGCAGAGCATGTTTAGGTTTGAAACGCTTCTTGGGGGGCAAAGGCTCCAAGGAGGTGTAGCAGATACCTGAGACACGCGCTAGCCAAGCTGTGTGTAAGTCTCGAACTACTCTATGAATTATTTTTAAGTATCTTTTTATATATTAGTATAAATTATTACAATTTTTAGTTTTTTAAATTATCTATATTTTTCTTTCAGTTTTGTTGACAAAAACGAAGACTCGTCTACAATTTGTAAAAAAGTTGACTATGGTACAAAGGTAACAGTTCTTTATTGAAAAAACATTAGCGAAATAAAATTGTTAAATTTTTATCTTAAATTGAATAAATAAAATATTATTTCATTCTCAAAAAGATTCATTTGTTGGATAAAAGCTATAATTTAGATAGCATAGCATAGTTAGGTCGTGTAAAAAATCAAGATTGCGATCATTTCAAGAAGGCGCTCGACTAAAAAAGTTCAAGGTGGCGCTTGATTAGAAATTCCAAGATGGCGCTCAACTAAAAGTTCAAGATGGCGCTTGATTATAAATTCCAAGATGCTGTTTAATTGAAAATTTGAAAATGTCAAGGTGGCACTTGATTGAAAATTTCATAGAGGTACTTGATTTAAATGTCAAGATGGCGCTTGATTAAAAATTTCAAGATGACGTTTGCTTAAAAATTCAAGATGACGCTTGATTACATAAATCAAGATAACGCTTGATTAAAATTCCAAAACGGCGCTCAATTTAAAATTCAAAGATGGCGCTCGATTGAAAGTTCAAAGGTGATAAAAAATTAAAGATGACGCTTGATTAAAATTGAAGATGGCGCTTTTTCAGATTGAAGAGCCCCCAGCAAAGAAGAAGAAGAGAGATGGCCCGGTCAAGATTAGTATTCCATCTCTCAAGCAGCTTAAACAACTGGAGGAGGAGGAGGAAGGTAGCACCAGCACCGTTAAACATCTTTTATTTTTATACGTGTTGAAAATTGTTAGAAAATAGGAAAGATTTTGCGAGTTTTTAAAGAAAAAAAATTGTATTTTAACAGGCAAGTTTTTTTCCGTTTTTAACATTCTTTTCCAAAAAAAACTTTATTTTTCCTAAATTGCAAAATAAATTTAAATCTTCATTCTTTGTTATTTAAAAAATGAATATATAGAGAAAGAATTTTCTTTGTTTTGATGAGTTATAATTTTGCATGTACAATGTTCATCGTTTATCTTTAACGTTTCACAATTTTGCCCAAAACAATTCAAATTCATGCAAAACTAACAAAATTTTAGAATTTTGAATGTTTTAGAGCTGCGACCAGTGCCGCGTGTAACCGCAAGTAAGAAAGGTTCCGGACTGTTTGCTCTTCTACCAGATCCTAAGAATAAAATGACAAGGAACAGACCAATCAAGTAAGCATCTTTTTCCGGAAATAAGCATCAGCCATCTTCTTTTCCCCCCTGCCCCACCGGGAAGGGGGGAAAAGAAGATGGAGATCTTGAGATCATAACATTAAAGTTTCGACCATTTTTTTAATATTTCTAGAACTCGGCAAATTAAAATGAAGAAAAAAATTTAATTTTCAGCTTTGGGAGCACGGCGATATTCTTTTTCGTAAATATTAAACTGTTCCTTTTATTTATTTATTTTCAGTGTTGCAGTACCTGAAACTGGAGAGGAAGGAAGCTACAAACCCCCAGGTTTTAACTTAAAGGGACTGTAAGCGTAATTTCAAGAGACCCTCTATGCAAAGATGGCAATGCCCGGTCCACGACGGTGTAAGAAAATGTCGTTTTTAAAGTTTGAAAGTGTTTAATTCTGATAATTCATTTTTTGATTTTCTGCAGTAGAAATGCGCAAATTACTTTTGCAGAGAAACCACAATTGAAAATATTCCGTTTTCAAAATTACTAAACGGTGAAATCTAATTCATACTTGATCAGACAAAGCTTTTAAGGGTACCGTTGTGAATTGCGCATTATTGTCTTTGCATGGAGGGTTACTTGAAATGAAGTCCTTTTTATTAAGTAATTTATTGTATAGTTTTTAACGTTGAAGTTTGTATGTATCTTTTTTTCAACAAAATTGTTAGGTATTTTTTTAATCTAGTAACCCTTATCTACAACAGAATTATTGGCGTTACTTATTATTTATTTGGTTTTTATTATTTATTTTTTATTAATTATTTGTTTCTCATTTTAATTATGATTTAGTATTGCCTGAAGGAACGAAAAATAATCTTAAACCCTCTGGAGTTCGAAGAACAGGACTTGTTCCTCATATGTAAGTACATCAATTAATCAATCAATTAATCAACAAATTAATCAACCAATTAATCAATCAGTTAATCAACCAATCAAGCAACCGATCAACCAAGTGTTCTATTTAATAAGCTTATTTCTATGCTCTTGCGTTTATATTTAAAAAAATGTGTGTTAAAATATTTTAAGGTTTTGTAGTTTTTGTCGCTGATTTTAAGCCAGCAGGGAAAATTAACCTTTTTTTGTTGAAAATATCCGAAAGAAGGAATAAAGCTTTTAAAATAAAAGATAGAGAAAGATAGAGGGTTAAATACCTAGTACCGTATGAAATGGGCTTTTTACGCATTTGATATTAAAATTCAACCTAGATTAAGCATATTTTTGTTGTAGAGTTGCGAATCCTGTTCCTAGAGCATCTACCCCTCCCCCTTCTTCCTCCTCGACCTCCTCCTCAGCTGGTCTTCTCAACACTCGGCCAGATTCAGATTCAGACGAAGAAGATTTCATGGGGTTAGACGATTTTTTAAAACAATTTTTGTATTATTTTATGAATTAAAATGGTACGAAGCATAGTTACCAAATTTTAAATGTTCTTTATCTTATTCTCCCTTAATTCGCTCAGTGTCGACTGTCCGTCTTTGCCCCATTAATAAGACAGTGTGCAGGCGCACTAGACAGTTTTTTTGCCCCCCCCCCCTAAACATTTTTAGGGGGTGGGGTCAAGAAAAATGTGTATTATACTCAAACAATTAAAAAAAACTAATGTTACCAACCGGATATTCAGTAAGTCAACACATCTGAAATAAAAAAAAACAAGAAATCTATTCTGGTCAATGGCGGATACNTCTATCTTAATTTTATATTGTTGAGATTTCTTTAAAATTTATTTTAAGTTGACATATCTATCTATCTATCTATCTATCTATCTATCTATCTATCTATCTATCTAACTTTACAGAATATATTTACGGGTAAAGTAAAACATTTTTTTAACGTAATAAGATTGATTAATTAGGTTTATTAATTTTACATTGCAAGTTTAAAGATTTATTGAAAATTTATTTTAAGTTTACTTAGATTTTTATCTATCTATCTATCTATATCTATCTATCTGTCTATCTATCTATTTATCTGTTTATTTATATGTCTATCTTTCAATACCTTTATCTACTTATCTTTTTGAAACTATCAGTCTACTTATCAATCTATCAGTCCATCCATCTGACCATCTATTTATCTTTCTATCTGTTTGATTTAATTAATACTTGTCCTAGAATGAAGAAGCCGCCCATGCCCCTGCTGCCGGTCACCTCAGATTATGTGTCTCTTAACTTACAGTCAGGTATAATAATAAAATGCGATAATAAAAATCAACATGTATTCCAAATAATTCAAGAGTAAAACATTTTACATTACAGTACAGTACATAAATGTGCAATACAGTACAGGAGAATACTGAACAATTACAATACAGCACAGTTAAGTGCAATGGAATAAATGCAATGCAGTCCAGTGCAATGCAGTGCACAGCATGATTTAGTGCAACACTGTTTAATACATAACAGTACAGCACTGTACTGTATTGTACTGTATTGTAATACATTACAATACATTACAATACATTACAATACATTAAAATACATTAAAATACATTAAAATACATTACGATACATTACGATACATTACGATACATTACGATACATTACAATACATTACGATACATTATAATACATTACAATACATTACAATACATTACAATACATTACAATACATTACAATACATTACAACACATTACAATACATTACAATACATAACAATACATAACAATACATAACATTACATAACATTACATAACATTACATAACATTACATAACATTACATAACAATACATAACAATACATAACAATACATTACAATACATTACAATACATTACAATACATTACAATACATTACAATACATTACAATACATTACAATACATTACAATACATTACAATACAATACATTACAATACATTGCAATACATTACAATACATTACAATACATTATAATACATTACAATACATTACAATACATTACAATACATTACAATACATAACAATACAATATGCATTACAATATATTACAATTTCATTATAATATTGCAGAAGAGGAATTAGGACCAGCTGTTGCTCCCTACCCACCTGTAGCTACAAGTCTACCCGACCATACATTAGTGGATAATGAAGTTGCTATAGCGTAAGTTTAAAAAATAATAATACAAAGTTCAACTTTATTATGATCATTGAACATTCCGGGTGTAGGGAAGTGTGCACAGTGGTTTAGAAAAGGGGTAAGTCAAATTGTTTTTTAGTTAAAAATTAATNTATAAAAACAGAAAATAATTTTTTGCTAACTTCTGAATACGCAACAAACTCCACACTGCACCCATTTCTCGATCTTGACTGTTTGAACAATACTCTAATAATATTTTAGTTAAATTAAAAAATATATCAATATTAATTAACAACAACAACATTTAGAACCGTCCTTCTTATAAAATTCAATAATAAATGTTGAATTTTGTCTAATGGGGAAAGTATTCCTTATCTCCTTTTTATACTTTATACAGTGGAACCCAAATAAATGTGGAATAGAAAAACGACTCGATTCAAGATAAACTTCAAATAGCCAAAAGACCGAATTTAAATAATATGAGACGCGGCTCAAATATGGTTGGTTCCACTTCAAAATGTATTCAATGTTTCAAGATTAAAGCCGGCGCTCAATTAAGGTAACGGAGTTTGGGTTGATCTGAGACGAGGCTCAAATTCATTAAATTCTAAACATAAAAACACATTAGTTGTGCAGTGTACACAGACCCTTCAGTTGATTTTCAACCTGCGGTTGAAATTAATCTGCTTTAAAACAACATTAAATACACAAAAGATTGCTTTAATGTCATCTGTCTATTCTAAAAGTTCATGGGCCTTACTGTACCAATGTTAAGACTCTAATTGTATGCTATGTTTGCACACACACAAAAAGATTAAATTAAATGGAAAGTGTAAAAGAATTAAACATAAAGGATGTCAAAAATCTGCACAAAATTGGAAGATGCTTAAAAATGCTTATTTTTTTGTCTAAGGCCTCTTTTTTTTCACACACCTTGAAACCTTTTTTTTCAATATTATTATGAAATCTACAATTCTTTCCTCTCCAAGTTGTGAGTTTATAATCGAAAAATGCTAACAATCCACCACCAATTATTTTAACTTACGCAAGCAAAAAATGTTTTGAGAAATGTTATCGAATTTGGAGGAAATATTTTTTACTTGTATTTTTGGAGGTTAATAAATAATTCCTCCATAAACATTTCATTTTGTATTTTTTGTTGTCTTCTCTTTGTTGCTATATATTAACATTAAAGTTATTTATATAACTTACAACTATCCCCAGGAGGTTGGCTGGGAAGGCTGCTAAAAGACGTGAGTTAGTTAGACAATAGAC